ATCGACACGCCCTTCAGTGGTAAGCGATTTTTTTCCCAGCTGCAGGGAGCAAAGCAGCTTCAGTTAGACCTTGTGTCTGTTGGCAGATATCGCATAACAACATCGCTATATGTATTAGATCATGAGTTCAGAGACTTATTAACCCCATAATGTATTTGAAAGAAGTGTTAAATGTTCATTTAATGCTGTTTATGTAACATAATTTATTTATTCATAATAACATTTGAATAGTTTTTATTATTGTACTTTAACATATTTCTGAAAAATCTTTGTGTATTTTTATTTCATCATAAGCATTCACTCCGAATCAGACCTACGTAAAGTGCATTTCTAGAGCAAACCGTTATCAGACTTTGCTCTCAGTACATGCGCCTGGCCGACGTAAAAATCATTAGCACTGCTTTCTTTAACCACCAGGTGTCATTAAATGAACAGAACCTTATTTTCTCATTCTCATCAATTTGTCTGTTAATATGTAAGCCATCCCCTGCTCTTGGTTTTGTATCACGTTATACCTCTCTGTAATATCTTATCACAATGCATAGCCGAAAACCTGTGCCAGGACTGGTATACTGTAAGTAAAAACTATCAGTTGAAATCAGCAATGACCTCCAGAAATCTGATCATTTTCATATATTCCATCTTGCTCTCCATACTATTTACACATGTATTGGGGTTAAGGCCCAAAGGTGAAATCACAGGGGATTTGAACCAGTGGCCCTGCCGATTACAGACACAGAGTTCTACGCCTCAGAGTCAAATGAGTGTATATCGCTGCAGCTGTATACTTTTAATTTCTGTCAAATTATTGAATTTTGTTTATATGATTTGATTTTTTTTATATATTGTGTTAACACACAGGTGAATAAGAAAACAAAACAGCCACACTGGGAAATATCAGCTAGGTAGGTATCAAAGAAAGGAAAGACCAGTATGAGTAGGATCCTGTCGATTTACTCGCTGGACTGCCTGCCTTCATGCCACACATGCACACCAGTAAAAATGCCCTGATCCTTAGAGTTCCGGAAGGTGGAAGCCAAGGCCAGCGCTCGCTTGCCCATCTTTGCAGAGACCAAAACATCCATCCATCCATCCATTTTCTGAAACCACTTGTCCTATTCAGGGTCGCAGGGGGTTCAGAGCCTATGGGCGCAAGGCAGAGAACGATCCGGGATGGGGTGCCAATCCATCACAGGACACACTCACCCACCATTCACACCTATGGGCAATTTGGTAACTCCAGTTAACCTGTTTTTGGACTGTGGGGGGAAACTGGAGTACCCAGAGGAATCCCCACGATGACACAGGGAGAACATGCAAATGAGACCAAAAAAGTCAACTCATTATTGATTGCCTCCACTCAAAATCGAATAGATAAAATTAAGACTGAAGCCCTGCCCTCTTTGTTAAACTGTCCAGCAAATGCAGTTTGCATTGCATCACTGTGAGAAAAATCACAAGCTGTGCTGAGAGCTGATGACCAGCGCAGAGTGTGAGCACACTCATTTGGCTATTTTCTGCATGCTGAGTCATACTATCCGCCAGTGGCACAGTCTTGTCTTTGTGCTTTTGGGCTCCTAGTGTCCTTGACAAGCCTACATGCACATTATTGAAATTTCAAAGATTGGTTTTAAAGCTTAATTGCCTTACTTTTACCAGTCTGATGTAAAATCATCCTGTCTATTTAGTTAATGGCAAGGGCAACTTTATTTATAACGCACTTTCACACAATGAAGTTGACCAAAGTGCTACAAGTGTATCAGAGCCTAGTTAAAGTTGATGTATATCCACCCCACCCCCTCAAGCAGAGACACTTTGACTAATGGCATGAAAAACTCTCACCCCAGAGCTAATAGACTCCAGATTGCTGAAATGAGTACAGTCCTCGGTGTTGCCTTTGGACACAGACGTGATCCCAGTAGGCTACCACTGCTCAGCAGAGTCAAAGTAGAACAGCATCTCTTTATTCATTTATTCCCCATCCCATTCTACCTACGCACCATAGAAAATTCTGGAAAACCAGGTTTCACTGCCTCCTTTTGCGATTGACCTTTGCCCTTGGCCCTCCACTGTTGTGCTGCTTAGCAAGAAAAGAGAGATTCAACTCCCATTGCTGATGGTGTCATTGCTTCTGCTGGGAATCAAGACAGTCAATTTAAATGCAATCAACTGGGTATGGTGGGCAACCAAATAGCAGTATGAAGGAAGAGAACGTTCATCGATTATCAGAGCTGCAGTGAACAAAGTAACCAAAGCAAAATGCTAATGTGATATTTCACCCAAGCAGTGGATTACACGCAAGTTTTTGAAGGAAATTAACAATTCCTGAACAACTAGGTTAGGAGTTACCAGGTGTGTGTAACAACCAGGATGTAGGCATTGTGGCATCAGCAAGGCACAGATGAGGACTTTTCCAGAATGTTTAACTAACATCACATCCCAATGTGTTGGCCTGACTTGCAGAGGAATCCTTGGAGGAGTTTAATGCATTATATGACAGCAAGCGTCTTAAACGATTCTCAAGTGGGTCAGATCATTAGCAGCATTTCTGCATTGAGCGATTTGTTTGTTCTTCAGCTAATGGCAAAAACCGCAATCCCGTGCCTCCGTTTTTCCAACTGGACACTCCGTTTTGACAAGGAAGCCGTGCTCATCTGATTAGCCTTGTCTAAGGGCGTTTTTCCACCGCACCAGGTACCGTACTTTCGGTACTTCCATGAAGTGCTGAAAGTTTGGTACTTCTTCTATGTCGGTTTTCCACTGGCGTAAAGAATGGTACCGGCGCCAAATGATATCATCATTGACCGCCCCTGATTGACAGCCCAAAATTAAAACTAACAGTTGAGGCTGGAAAATGCGGTTTATTGTTATGTCAGCTTCTATCACAGTATAAGATTCAGTAAAATCCAAATCATGCTGCCATCAATTACGTTTACGTAGGTACACTTGCTTTGGCTATGCTGATCAAAGCAGTAAGAATTAGCTTACTGCTAATTCAGTCTTTTGGAAGCAAACAAATAATTTAATTATGTTTTTTTATTTTCTAGCGGCATTGTTCGGTGTTTCGCTTGTGCCCCATTTCTTCCATGCGGCTTGGTATTACGGTATTCCGGGCAATTCAGTTTCCCTATGTTTCTCCTGTCTATCAGGAAAAAATGTTTCCCCTAATATTAAAGCAAAAGAGGTATGTGAAATGTCTGAAAGTCACTCAGGTACATTATTACATGTGAATACAGTAGATCGTCACGCATAATATAGTCTTACAAGCAATTTCATCAAGAAATATCTCTATCCAGCGAATTAAGTAATTTCATTTATTATCTGTAAAAACAAAAAACATAGAAAAGGCATGTGATGTTTTAAAATTAATATATGGCTTGTTTACCTCAAGAGCTTCGTAAAAAGACATGAAAACAACAGCGAAACCGTGTACAAATCAACGCGCGACAGGGGAAACTGAATTGCCCGGAACGGCAAAAACTTTTTTATTTCGAGTCGTGCCATCCAAATCCCACTGGATCTGTTCATCCGACCATATAGCGATTAAAGCCTATGTTTCCTCGTTTGTCCATCCTTCCATTTTACTTTTTTATATTTTTGTTTCTACTACTTTTTGTTTCTCGCTGTAATCGCTCTGTTCGCTGTGTGTTTCAAAAGATGGCGGTTGTATTTTGTGTTTCAGCGGCAGGCTATTTGCATAACCAATCGACAGCAAATACGTTTGCAAGTCCCACCCCAAAGTACCGAAGTACCAAAGAAGTACCCTAACTGGTTTGGCACTTTCGGTACTCGAGAGTCGAGATTTCGTTACTGGTACTCGACCGGAAGTCAATGGAAAAGCGAAAGTACCGAAAGTACCGTACCGAAAGTACCGTACTTTGTGCGGCAGAAAAGCGCCCTAAGGTGTCAAACAGACAAATCAATCCAATCCAATCTGTGTGTCAAATGACCAACTTCTTGCCCACAAGATAATTTCACATTTTTGAAACTTTTCCACGTTTGCATGGAAAAGTGGAATTTCAGTGCATATTTCTGTAAATCGGTAATGGCAAACAGGATTAACTTATCCAAAATGGTCAAAAGCCACAATGTCTGTCTGTCTGTCTAAGGAATTGAACATTTTTCAGTCATCTTGATTTTATTTATCTGGCATGAATCACAGGCCACAAAACCAGTAGTAGGAAGAGAAACTAATCTCTCAAATGTTAACATCCCTGCGCTTTTGGCTTTTAGGGAGGAGGGAGGGTGAGCTTAAATTAGACATGATTGCTTTTGCAGAAATGCATTTAAGTTTGATGGGTTGAAGCCTATTTTCCTACAGTTTATAAGAATTCACGACAGACAGCAGAAATGGAATACAGTATCGAGCGAACGCTTCACATAGCTTTGGAAAAAGAGTAGCCCTAGGTTTAGTGTCGGCAAGACCCTGGAATCCAGAATTTTCTTCATTTGATGCTGCTGAAAATGGCAGCCACCAGAATAACATCTATCTTTCCATGTGAAGCAACTCCCTGCTGGGTTGGAGGGGAAACTCAGAATCCGTAAATTTGGCTTGAAGCAAGGTGACAGGCGTGGAGGGACCACAGCGAGAAAAGCTGCTTGGGACACAACAAGCAGAGCAGAGGCGGGTCGAAGCTTCTCTGGCTGTAGGCCCCCAAAACACATTCCGAGGCCCGAGGGGCTCCTGGCTTCCGTTTCGCAAGATTCCACCGTTTACATGGTAACCGGCGTTTTCCTAAACTCTGGAGGTCTGTGTTTTCAGTTTAAATTCGGCCGCTAAACAAAGCCACGATTATCTCCAGGCAAAGAACTGTGTTGATGTGGGGGAGGGGGGGTGGACTTGAAATAGTGCCATAAGACCTTTCTCATGAACTCCAGATGAAGGTTTCTGTCCTCCAAATGAAATGAAAAGGCGGCCATCTTCTGTCCTGTGATTTTACATCTGAAATGCTTATAGCCTGACACAGCTAGCCATGGACAGGAAAATGATCAGAAGTGACTGATTTTCTAATTATTTATTTCTGTGGCTGACACTTTACCCCAAAATAACGATTCATTGTGACAATTTATAGTAAATACCTGGATCTGGGGGTACAATCAAAAAAACAAAAAAAAAACCTAAATATTAAAATTTAAAAACATTAAATGTAGTTATAAAAAACATAGAAGGTTCACACTTCGAAAAAAAAAACATGGTAATAAATACAGAGAGAGTAGATTTTACATACATTAAGACCTTATGGCGCATCTGATGTAATAAAATAAAAAATATTTTTAGTAACATGGAAAACAACTGAGAAGAGGGAAAAACCTGTTCCAGTGTTTTTTCTTTTAATTATTATTTTTTAAAAACATCCCACAGTCCAATAAGAAGGTGCAACCAGTTTCCTTCACTCACCCTAATGGCCACAGAGTATTATAATCTTGATATATAATATATTAAAGGCAATGGGGAAAAGATCAGAAGCTACATATGTACACCGGACTGACATGCACGACATTCCCCTTTAAGAGAACAGAACCTTTTGAAGAGTCATAATATGAGACATGATTGTAGTATAAAGTACTGGACACTTCATCATTGTGGCAAAAACAAAATCATTACTTCACAGTAATCAATACTTCATAAAAAAAGGTTAAAAAGAATAAAAGTGGAATGTTCTTAACCTTATGATAAACAGAACTGAGTACTGGTACTTTCTACAGAGTACTATAATTGATTAAAATACTGATGTTTTCGACAGGCGGGAGGAAAGGAACGCAGACAAGCAGCCGTTTTTGTCTTGCACTTCAGCTGGAGCGTAAAAGCTAACGTGGAAAGCAAAAGACTTGCCCTGTTGATTTTTAGGAAGAGAGAGACATAAAGCTGGCTTAACTCGGCCTGCACTGGATTCTGCCTAATAGTCGATGGCCTGGTCATTGTAGTGACCGCCGTACTCGTCCTGGTAGTTGAGCGGGTACTCGTCGGGGTAGTCACCCTGATAGTCAGTGTCGCTGGCCTCGGAGCCGTTGGTGCCTGTGCCCATGCCCTGGCTGCCGTTAGCGTGGACTGTGGGCTCCAGGGGAGTGGCACAGTACTTGGGGTCGAAGACCTGCCGGCCGAGCCCGTAGACGCTCATGCCCTTCTGGGAGGCCACCTTGTTGGTGCCCATCTGCAGGGAGATGGTGGACGAGTCCAATGGCTGCACAGCCACCTTCTGATCAAAGATGTCTCTGCGGGTGCCAGGAGCGGCCATGCCAGCCTACAGACAGGGCACAGGGTGTGAGACGGATCCAGCGCCATCTCCTACACAGCCTCAGAAGTGGGGGTTAAATGTTTCATCGCAAAATGATTATTCAGGGCAATTTAACCGGGATCTCTGTCCATAACCAGATTACACAGTTGACAAGCTTACGGTTTAAATAGCCAAACACTATTTGTTCAGGAAAATTAAGCTGCTTTGTCAGACGGGCCTGGAACTGGAACACAGGGAGGTTTAAGGGCGGAGATTAAGCTTCTCTCGCTCTCATGTATGGGGGTCAGTACAAAGAGACCCAGGGAAAGGCAGGGAGTAGCTTACATAGTGAAATGACATTTCTGGAGGAGAAACAAGACAGAAATCTATGCTTAAGCTCCAGATATCGATTTTAAACCTTAGCAGTAACTGCCAGCCAGACTCTCTGGTTGGAGATCAAGTGGACTTTACTGTCACACCATCCATACAAAGGTAAACAGTAACACAAAATAGTGACAGAGGGAGGGTTCTCACAGTAACGTGCAAAAACAGGATAGAGCATGCAAAAGCAGAGGTGCTGGGCACCAGGGATTATGCAGTACTGTGCAAAAAGAAGTTTAAAGCTATTTATCTGGGCAGTGAGGACACATTTGCTCAGAACAAAAAAACAATTTAGCATTAGAACAAATGCAAATTAAGAGTAACACAACAAAAAGTGTAAGAATTTCTTCTGTTCTCCAAAAAGGTACTTGCAACTAGCTGGATGTCCAGATGAACATCGCTTCAGTTCCCAAACCTCCCCTCAGGGCCACCTCAGCCATTCCGTGTGTTTGTTACATTTCACCACCAACTCTCTTAATTAACTTAATTCGTTAAAAAAAAAAAAAAGTCAATGAGATTTTGATTATCTATACAAGGTGTGCCGGTGAAAAATATCACATGGCTGTATTGGATGGATGAGGCAATTACTGGGGTGATTTTAGCAGAAGATTTGAAACAGCTAAGCTAAGCTACATATGTACACCGGACTGACATGCACGACATAATGCATGCACGACATAATTAGGCATAATGGCATCGTTTTACACCAACATGAAGGTCATTTAAACACTTTCTTTTGCTGCCTAAGACTTCTGCACAGGACTGTACACACAGTGCAACGTGAATGTATGTAAACAAGTAGAAAGATAGCAGTAGCAAGATGGGTCCTCTAGACAAGAGGATGGGAGGGCTGAGCTAGGGCATTATGGGCTATCAATGCAACGTCAGCCAATCAAAACCTAACAAGCCTGCTAGCTAGACAAACCACTAGCTAGCTAAAAGCTGAGCCTACCTGGCTGGCGCCTTTGTTTGTTCCCATCTGCAAGCTGATGGTAGTCTGGTCAAAGGGCTTGTCCGTCTGAATCTTAGGGTCATAGAGATGTCTCCTAGTCCCGTACGCCGTCATCCCGGCTTGACTGGCGCACTTGTTCGTGCCCATCTGTCCAAAAGTTAGCAGGAAACAAGGCCTTTGAACGAGCTTCCCGAGTCACCCTCAACAGCCGGCACGAGTCCAGAACACATTATCCACTACATACGGCACCTTAGATAAGGATGATCAGAAGAGCACAGCTTCCTTGTTAAAACTATCACAAGCTCCATCCCTTATAATTCTGATGAGTGACCACAAAAACCAAGAGTGTGTCACTAAACTCAGAAGGGTGACAATAGCAATTCAGTAAATGTTACTATCTGGCCACTTTGGGACCAAGGCACTATTTTCCAAATAGTTGAATGTCACTATCGTAGAATAATGAATTGCAACAAATCTTACACTTTCCTTAAATCCTTTTATACACACGTTAGTGATTAATGTACTGAATTGTACATTCTGACCTGTAGCCCAATGACGCACTGTCCAGCCTTCATCTTCTCCTCGTTGAACTGCCGTGTCTGCCTGTCGGCGTATTTCACGCCGATGTCTACCTTTGTGTCAATGCCTTTCGTCTTGGCCTGTTGAGTACAGTGAGACTCATTGGGGTCAAAGACTCAATGCCAACTTTTCAATGGAAAAAAAACAAAAGCAAAATGGAGATCTTGTTCTCACTCACTGCAGAAGTAGGAGCGTACCATACTGGCCAAAGCGAGGAGTGTGGTCTGGACTTGAGTCATGTTTCCATTTTCAAAGAGGTCGTTCGCTTCAAAGATGTCATTGGGCTTCAAGCCATAGTTCAGAATAGCTTTGATGAAGTTTCCCAGGTTTTCCAGCTGGGGGAGGGAGAGAAGGCATACTTTACGGGGAAGCGGTCATGATTTCACAGGCTAGGTTACATCCCCCACGGAATGCAGACTTGGCCAGGGGGACGGACCTCACGTTAAAGAAGGCGCATGCAATTTCTCAGGCTTGCCAATAGCTTGTAAAGCTTTTGTTAGCATACCCCAAATTAACATATGCTTGCTGGTTAGATGCAAGTTCTGTTCACTTATACATTTTCAGTAATCTGGTGAAAGCGTGTACATTTGAGGCAGAGTGTGCACACATGCTGAGGGAGACACATTTCTCACCTTATGCCAGTTTAGTTTAGAATGGTTGATTTTCTTTACTGAACCAGGCTGCAGCTTGTTAATCAAACTGTACAAATGACACAAATATATAAACAGATATTTATGTTCACCAGAGGAATACAGTCACACAAATCTGTCTATTTGCTATTTCAGTGTTTGACAAGCCAGTGCTCGGTGAAGCCTATACAGTTTGCATTTTTGCTCCTTCCCAGCACATCTGTACCAGGCGTCTGGTATTCTTCACTGTTTGGTTCCTTCTTGACAGTTTCTTTCAGGTGTGCTGGGACTGGGGAGGGAGCAAAAATGTGGACTGTCCAGGGCCCCCCGAAGGCCGGATTGGGAAACGTTGCTCTATTCATTACAGATACAGGTGATATATCTTGGTGGCACATTGCAGGGGCCACTTTGTGACCGCAGACAGCTCTACAGGAACACAGCCCTCAGTCACTCACTCGCACAGGATGACACCGTCCTTCAGGCCCTGCTGGAAGTTCTCCCCAATGGGCATGCCCGTCACCTCCTCGATCCAGAAGCGCAGCTCCTCCTCCTTCTGCAGGTCATACTTTTGGGCGATCTGCAAGAAGCAGCCATGAGATCTCTCAGACCAATGCACGTGCAAGAAAATGACTCAGGGGCAGGAGGTCTGAGAGGAGAGACTCCCCGCATGAGGAGGTCCAACAGGAGAGACCCTCCATGAGGGGTCCTACAGTAGAGACACTTGAGACTTCCATGGGAAATCCTCAGCTTGAAGGAGATATCTTAAATCAGTATTTTCCAGCTAGTGGATAGTGCCCCAAAAGTGGATCATTTAGTGAGTTGCAAAGTGTGCGTAAAGAAAGAAAAAAAAAACAGCACCCCCCCACCCCCCCCCCCACAAATATGACCAATTTTTTTTATAAATTTTCTGTGAAATTAATTTATCATGGCAGGGTCAAACCAGTTGAGAACCACTGGCCTAAACAACCATGAAACCTGCCATCTCGGAAAGCTCAATAAAAATCTGAATAAAATAAAACAACCCACAGTCAACGATTCCTGTTCTAACCAGATCACCTTCATATCCTCCCAGACGAGCACAAATGCGAATTAATGCAGTTCCACTGTAATCTGGTTAGCAAGAAAAACAACCAGTGTTTACTGGACCAGACATATTTACACAGACATGAAGTTACAGCCCAGTTCAGCTCTGTTTCACACCAAATACCATACTGTAATGTAGAGCCATTCTTTGGTTTCAACACTACATCAGGCTCAGCATACAGTATAGCACTTCAAAATGGCTCTTCAAAACACAACGGTATAGTAACCTAGACTGAATAATCATATGTTTGAAATTATGCACCTCAAAATCACATTGATTCAGATATTTAAAAAAAAATTCAAAATAAACATCAGTCAGTTACCTAAATTACCACTTCAGAGGATACAGGAAGGATTTAAGAGGTTGGTTTAAAATGTTTAAAAGTCATGCCACAGCAACAGCAAACAGACCGTTTCAAGAGAACAAAAGCTGATTAGATCTATGAGAGTCCACAAGGAACATGCAGCACAGCAGATCATCCTGTCTGGGGAGGGAAGGTCCTCCTGGGCTGCAAATTACAGGCTATTCTCATTCGCAGCTTTGCTCTTCAGCACCCAGGTCCCCGGTTTCTGCATTTGCTTGAATTATGTTCTACAAACATATTGCAAGGGGAAGCATAATTTATTACTTAAACACAGCTGGAGGGAGCAAAAACGTGAATCGTCTGTGGTCCCCAAGAACCGGGCTGGGAAACGTTAACTTAACACGTACTCATTCACCAGACGAAGAGCATCTGTGTGCAAAAGACTGCACGCAGGACCGGTGCTCAACGTCAGCTGCCATTCGCGTCGACTTTGTGTCAGCGTCAGCCAAGGGGATGGGGAAGCGGGACAAAGAATTTAGCTGTGAAGTGGTGCTGACACAGTGGAAGATCGGGTTAAGCGACAAAAAGGCTTTGTTACATTCTGAGTGTTTGTCCAGGAACGATGCCAGCAGAGGCAAAAACAAAATAAATTAATCAACTGCAGGGATTGAGAGTTTTACGATAGCGTGTGTATTACTGAATCTACATTTTAAGAATTTGTGCACATATCTGGTATAACACAGCATTGATAAGTACCAAATTTTTTTTTGGGGGGGGGGGGGGTAGACACACCCTAAAGAAACTTAAATGATTCAATAGGTGAGGAATTGCCTTTTGGTGCTCCACTCCATAGTTGAGGAGATGTTTTAAATTCCTACAGCAATTGCCAGCTTATGTTACTCTACAAACTGCTTCCAGTCTCAGCTACATATTAGTCATACGTTTAATAAGTACCAGAATGGACAGCACGTCCTTCTCTTGCAAACTCTAACTCCGTTTCCGCATAGTTTGGCATTTCACTCGAGATAATGAGGAAAATGTTTTTTTGATGGTATGGTAACATGGGGTTAAGACAATTTACTACCAAAATTCCACAGATCACAGTTTCATTTTGAAAACCCTTATCTTTATGCAGTGTATGGATAAAGGTTGGCATTCACCATGTTATGGCTGTTACTCAATAGAACTTGAAGGCAATGAATATGGTCCTTTAAGAATGAGAAGGTGAAGTTTGAGACAGCCCAACTCACAACGTCTGATGCCCATCCATCTTCACTGTTCAGTTCACTTTCCCCTCCATACACAAAAATTCATTTGGTAACCTTACATGTCTTATGACTTATTGAATTTACCAAAAACAGGCTTTGATTAAACACAGCAATGCTTTATCTGAAGAGAAGTTAAATGTTCCATGAGAGATTAATGGCTACAGGGGAAAAAAGTGCAAACTAGAAGAACACTTAACCTTTCCAGACACAAAACAAGCCTTGTTGTGATTCTGTAGCACAACACGCCTCCTTAGTCAGAGCTGACATCCAGAGAAGTAAAAGATCACTGGTCACTGGAAACAGCCCATAACAAACCCTGAGATGCTCCCTTTATCAGTATGAGTATTTGGCAGAGACCCTCCAAGCTTGGAAAATGATTTCTGGTCACTCCTTCTCATCAAGATGTCAGAATTCTGGATTGTGTGGAGACAATGCTGACAGAGTAGCAAAACATGCATCGCTGCTCTTCACGGCCAACGGAGTTGAAAGGTCTGTAGGCAGGATAACACTTTCCACTGCTTCAAGAAGACTGTTTAACGCAGTACAAAAAGATCCAGTGTCCTTTATGAAAATGGCATGATTGTCAATCCCAGAATCTAAGCCTCTGGAAAGACTCTGGCTTCATGACAGAAAAATCTGACCTATGAGCCGGTTGTAGCCTGGATCTCGCTCTTCTCATTCCGCTTCCATTGGGGCTTAAAGGAGAAATGTTCTGGACACCGTTTCTGTCCTGTAACTGCCTCATAAACCATGTCCTTACACAGGCTACCTGGACAGTTCTAGAGGAACTCGCTGGATTTTTTTAGATAATGGACTCCTTGTCCTTCTGGAGGCCCAAACTGACCGTGTTACTACCAGCTATGCAACATCACCCCTGCTTCTCCATGCAGTAAATGACCTACTAATTCAGCTATCAAAAAATGTTGCTGGTGAAAACCCCTTAACTCAAAATGCAAACAAGTTTGCACAGCAAATATGGCGATTACTTTTTGCTCCAGTGAATGGGGAGAACTTGAAGGCCACAAACCAATAGCCCCACCATCCAAGGTCTCCAAATAAAAAAAGAAAACTCAGACCGTGAACTTCCTGGATTCGGAGCCATGAGCTGTTTGGCAGAGCAGCTCCAGGAAATCATGACACCTCAAGGATGAAGTGGTGACAGATGTTTTGTACCAGGAACGCAAAAGAACGATCCGGTGTCAGCGCTTAAAAGGAAAATACCACACTACCAGCTCAGAAGTTCAATAATAAGAGTGGCTGGAAAACACACACACACACATACACATACAAAATATTGCTGACCAAGGGACTGCATGACCACAGTGTAATTCAACACAAAAGCAGGGCAGCCCAAATACAGCTGAATGCTATAGCAGGCTGCAGTAGATGCTGTAGCAGGGCGTATTAGATGCTATATTAGACTGTAGCAAATGCTGTAGTAGGCTGGGGCGTGCCAACAGCCCTGCAAACATTGAGGGATTTCCCGAAAGGCATCGAGAGACTGGAAATTGAAACCTAGGAGGCCCATTAACTGCTGAAATGAAAACGCTTCCATCCAACCCCCCATTCTTAAAAAAACAAAACAAAAAAAAACACAAGCCTGTCAAACTCTTGAATGGCTGGATCAGTCTTGGCAATAGAGGTCAGTCAGGCCACAGGATGCCGGCACCTTAATGACCAAACTCATAAGAGCGATTCTACTGCCATGAAAAATCATGGGTTTTTAAAGGCTTGCAATTGCGATGTTGTGCTTATGTGATGATGGGTAGGGATAGTGATATTGGAATGGGGGCGGAGCCTGTCAGTCTGCCAGTGATTGACAGCTTGCCTTTCAGGTTACAGGAATTCAGCAGTGGCTTTGCATGCAGCGGGCATCCAAAACATTTGTCCCATTCTTTGCTTTCTACAATTTCTTAATTTTATTTTTGCCAAGGACTTCATTGTAGAAAACCACTCAAAACAAGTGCCTAGTCAATTGTGGATCGACTGAAAAATATTCAAAACAGTAATTCCCATGCAAATATCAAAAATATCCTGGAAAGCTGAGAGGAGATACAAATACTAAATAAGAGGAAATGTCCAGAATCAGCTTTATTTGTTTTTCCTTGTCAACAAGCTCCTGAACAGTCAAGTGACATTCCACCTTATCAAAGCGTCATTGTGTCTGGCTCTGAGAGGATCACATATCTTCCCACACTTCGTGGTGCCAAATCTTGCTCTCGAAACAGTTCACAAAAACACGACTCTTCCGGCTCAATTTTAGTTGTATGGCTTGAATCTCATACTTCAAAGCAAACAAACCTACATGAAATTCAGAGAAATTCTCTGGTATAAGCAAAACACAGGCTCTCTGCTTCACAATATATATATATATATATATATATATATATATATATATATATATATATATATATATATATATATATAAACAAAAACTTGATACTGTATCAAATTAATTACCAGTATCAGTATGTTAACCTTAAATGGAAGAAAAAGATTGGATTTGTATACAGTCAATCAATAACCGATTCTGCATGCATATATGACATAAAACAAATACAAATGCAATTCACTGCTTAACAGGGTAAGCGCAATATCACTCTCTGATCTAAGTGTGAGAGATCCAGCCCCACCATGGTCAGCCATGTGTGAAGATGTGCAAACCACAAGAGGCGCCACAGTGCAGACATCTGAACACATGTTCATGCCTGAAGGCTCCATGTTGGGCTCAGTAAGCCTGATATGACCACCATATTCATATTCATATTCTAGATGGCAAATGGACAAGATATATATATCGAGGTTGCCAACTGTCATGCATCTGGCATGACACTCACACTTACAGACCCTCACGCAATAAATTTTATGGAAAATCAAGATCATTCCATTATAAACCTAAAATTAGCTACATCAAAAGCTTTGGGGTAGTCTGCAAGCCCTAGACACTATTTACAGGGTAATAAAACTGTCACATGTAAATGCATGTACATGTGTGTGCAGCCTTGTCTGGAATTGAAAATCTCACACCAGCTACTGACCAAAGTCAGCAACCCAGAATATATGAATAACTGCTTATTACTGAATTTGTCAGTGCTGAAGCATTTTAGAGACAAGACAGTTTAGAGAGAAACAAGGTGTGTCAAGCATTAGAAGAAAAAGAAAAATCAGTAATAAGTGACCTCCACTCTCTTGCGAGTGACTCCCTTCCTGTCTACTAGGTACATCAGTCAGACCTCTAACAAGGCTAAACTGCTGGCAGCCAGTTCATTCAAATTAAATAAAAACAGTTTTGCGTATAAACTTCTTTCCCAACCTAACAGTGACGAGGACAGGTGGCATGGATTAATTTGGACTTTAACTGGAGTAAACAAGCCACATAATAAAGTTCAGCTGAACACACATTTCATGGCTTGACTCTTCATTAAACCAAAGAGCCCCTAGGTCTGCCTGCTTGGACATTTCCAAAGGGCTGTTTTATTCCCACAAGATTAAAGGCAGATTAGTTAGAGTGACCAGGACCCTTTCATGGAATTAAGGGACTGATCAGCCTCCTAATAACTGAAAGGACAGAGAAGTGCTTCCAAGCTGAAGAAGTGGGCTATGCCACTCCCACGAGAAAAAAAAAGAAGAATCGTTTGCAAATCCTCTAAGGACCTCAGCTACATTGTGCTGAAGCAAGAAAAGTAGGAGGAGTCAGCAAGAGGAACCCCCTCCCCCAACATAAATAAATAAATAAATAAATAGTGGTTTTTCAACTTGATATAGATTGTCTGATCAACATCAAGTTAAAACAACCAAGGGGTTTCGGTTTTTTATTTATTTTCCCAAAGGATATATTGACCAATCTGTTCTGTGGAAACTCCTTGCAACTGAGGAGCTTCTGCGACCAGTGCGCGCGATCGCACTTATCAGATGGAAATTGCCCATTAGAGCGCACTTAAAAGTCACAGGGCTGAGAGGGTACTGCGGGGGGGGGGATGAAGAGGACCACCCCCCTTTTTACGAAATAGCAACAGACTCTTGTTACCAGAAATGAGACGTGGCGTGTCTGGCACTCACAAGCGGTAGCGAAAATGTTGCTGCGTTTCACCCATCCCATGCACCGTTTCATACGCAATATGCAAAAAATGAAATGCATGGGGCGCTGCAGACTTTTGCAACAGCTGGGGCGATGGTATTAGTTACTTGGAAGCGGACAATGGGGAACAAAACCGAAAGTGCAATAAAGAACTTCGCCCAAAATACATTCATATTCATCAACCAGATGTAAAAAAAAATCCCGCATCTGAAAGTTTGGCTTTTGGAGTCTTGTCTAAGGGTTTCCGATGATGAAACGCTCCAAGACTGCAGGGACCTTGATTTGTACCCCACGCCACAGTCCAGCTGTCTTCCTTTGACGAGGTCACACACAAACTGGCATTGATTTTTATCTCAAAACCCCATTTTATCTGCAGTAAGTCGCTGTGGCTGTGGGATACCTTGCAATAAAAATTAACGATACTGTGCTAATCGCATCAGTATCCCAATTATAAATAGGCGATACTGGGTTATTTACAGTGCGTATGCGATGCTCCACCCTGCAACGTGGATAACACAGAATTTACAAAGACTGTTATATAGTCAACTGGATTACCATGAAAAGAATTTTTTACTGGTTCATATGACAGACGAACAACACTAACTTCGCGGTCACCAAATTTCAGTTCATCGGGCTAGGTTAATCTCTCTAGCAAAAACACTGAAATTAAGACTATAAAATTAACATGCATTAAATTTTTAACATTTTCTAAATAATATATACATAAACAATTGTGATTTTCCATTTTGCCATATATATATATATATTCAGCTTTTACGTGAAGGATATGACATGCGGTGCTTCACCTAAGAGAAGGCATAATTCATTCCCAAAGGAGAAACGCAGATCGGGTGACCTGTATTTAACTGAAAGCGCAGCAGGAAACAAAGAGAGCAACCGGACGGATGCCTGCAAGTTTCTCAAAAAAAAAGAAAAGAAAAAAGAAAACGAGGAAGATCACACTTTTCATCCATGATTTTAACATTTCTATTCACGGATAAACGTAAATACGGGAGATCTCCTTTTCACATGGGAAACATGGGGAAAACAGTGCCGTTTCGGCAGCACTTAAAATAAAATAAAAGCGCCCAGTCAAAACGGAAAAAATTAAGATAAAATCGAGCATCGCACTAACCACGGCAATATCCTTACCTTGCTTTTCACTTCTGCAGAGAGGCCGTAGGTCGGTCCCTTGTTGAACTGAGTCATTTTTCTTTGTTTTGTTATATAACCGAACAATGTCCACAAAATGATGTAGCTGTGTGTGTGTCCCTTCTGTTTATTCGATGTATAGAATGAACAAGAGATAGTTATGCAACGTAGTGCACCGTCCGAATGGGATAATTGGATCCGTAAGCTTTAATTCTGCAGGTTTCCCGTTAACTGCTCTTCAGATCTTAGGTGAAAGCACTACATCCACAGAAAGTTCGGGTTTCTTTAGCTCTTTTTGTGTTAAAGAAAGAAAAAAAAATGTCGCCACCAGATTGACGGGGGCATCTGAGCCAATCAGATTCGTCGTATTTGCATCTGTGTTTCTTTTGTTGAAATGGAAACAAGAACGGCTAGAGGAAACAAGAACATCAGCACATTTAATACATTCAATACATTGTATTAATTCAAGACAACTTTGTATTTTGATGCTTAAACCGTTTTGTATGTAGATGATTATATACAAAACAAGAAAATGCACACACCATGCATGCAATTGTAGGAGAAAATTATGAATCCAAGATAATGTTACCGATATAAATGGTCATTGATGGAAAAAATAGAGGAACTTCCATTATCGGTAATAATGTTGGTAAATATTGTTAATGACGATTAGACCTGCATAGTGATTGGTCTATTCCTCCGTAAAAAAAAAAACTGTTTCAGTTCTGTGTTTCTGTAACGTCGTGCTTGGATCGCATAGGTAGACAAACTTTTTCATGCAACTGTAGGATTTTCCATTAGGGGTTACAAAGCGGACGATTTAACAGCGTTAGATATTATTTTCTTCTATACTGTTTTACACGTCCGTCAGATGCTCATTTGAACGTGCAAAACGTTGGCATTTACATAGCTTTCCAGATATGTGCCGAAAAGCAGGTCGAAGACCAAAGAATGCTTACTAAAAATGAAAATATAACTTGCACAGAATGATCACTCTCTTACGTCATTTAATTTATTTTTCATACCAGCCAATAAGCTCTGAAGTAGTTCAACAAGTCCCTCTTTTGATTATTTTTATTTTTTTTACAGTGGAGTTCTATTAAATTTGCCACTGAAATGTTACGGTACAAAAATCATTGTAATCAAAACAACAATTCATTTCCAAAGCCAAGGGTCAGCATTTTTTCTCATTGGTAAAACCTTGTCAGCTGTACTCTACCGTTATCTTTGGACCGGCGCCACCCAGCAGCCCTAAACCCTACGCCTCCCTGCTGCCGATTTAATGACTTTAGGTAGGTGCCAATACAAACGGCCTCTATCGCACGCAAAGCCGCAGCGTGGTGACACATTGCCCGGCCAGCATGCGGTGCATGGTGCGCTTAAAGCGCCAATGTGTTCTTAAAAAACACCCCAATCCCTCGGTTCAATCTGTTCAGCCTGGCATGAGCTAGGCAGCCTTCATGACTCTGAATTTTAGTTTAGTTTTATTTATTTAGCACAAAGATTCTCAATCGAGTCCCCAGACAGTTCACATTTTTGCTCCCTATACCAGTTCCAGGTAGTTAGTGTTTTTGATTGGCTGGGACCTATAGGGAACAAAACTGCATCACCTGGGGGTACCTGAGGACCAGGTTGAGAGACACTGATTTAGCATGAGGATAAGCGGTTACAGAAAATGGATGGATGAAAAGTGCTGACTGACAGTAGGTGGTCCTCCCGCATATATTTCTGATAATCTGGATTATGATACTCAGTGTAGATTGGGGATTGTGGTGTAAATGGCTATAAAAGGGCAGCATTAGTCAGAGTGCCTAATTATAAAGTTTCATAGCGATTACATGGGTAATAACCTTAACAATGTATTTTCAATTCAGTAGTTGATGGAATTTTGCCCATGCTGGCTAATAGTAGCAACAGTTATTAAGTAAGTTAAATGCTCTTGTAAGTTAATATTGACTCAGTAAAATGATTGATAAGGTCATGGTATTAATTGTCATATGGAGCACGCCTGGATTTATGATGTAATTGGTTGCTCTCGGTGGCTCCGCATGAAGATTCCCCTGTTGTCTGCCTGTTTCCTGCCCTGTGAGTCAGACAATAAGGCCCCAAATAATCCTCAAACAGGAAGCCGTAAACAATGAGGGCCCGGCATCGGCGTGGACTCATCCCAACAGAGAACGCAAACAAAGCACATCGCCCAGGGCATCTTGCATTGTCAGCCTCTGTCATTAGAGCCGCCCTCTTCAGAGAACAGTACTAAAAATGCCCCTGGAGCTGCCGCTCGGCCTCAGCGGCCTGCTGGAACATCTGTAAAATATTCATGAATGATATGAGCGAGAGGGTCGCCTCCTACCTGCAGAACTGGGGCTCTGAGTCCAGCCCCCACTCTGTGTGTGTGGAATTTCCATGTTTCCTTGTGATTTTTTTTTTGAGTTTCCTCCAGGTATATGTGTGTGTGTGTGTGTGTGTGTGTGGATTATGTTTATATTACATTGTGGGGACCAAATATCCAGGTCCCCACAAAGATTTGTGAATGCAATCAAAAAACTACAAATGGCAAAAGTCTTGTGTTTTGTTTGGTTACTTATGGTTCAGGTTAGGGCTGGGTAGGGGTTAAGGTCGTCATGTTGGGATTAGAGTTTTCTCCATAGAAATTAATGGAGAGTCCCTACAAAGATTTAATCACAATGTGTGTGTGTGTGTGTGTGTGTGTTTGTGTGTGTAATGAGATGAACTAGCCTCCCGTTCAGGGTGTTCTCTGCCCTGAACTCTCTACCTCCTTGGAAAAACTCCAGACTGACCATGATCCCCATTCCAGTGCTTGAAGTGGGGAAAAAAAACAGGAGCCAGTCTAACCTTGTTATTCTGTACTGGCAGATTATGAGAGGTGTGTCTGGTCCTATGAAGAGAAAAATACTGGTGAGTATCAACCACTTCAAGTGCTATCCTGTACTAAATAAGATGTCATGGTAGATGGGTGGACAGGTGGATTCAGCTAAGAACCAAGATCTGAAACGGATATGCAGGAGGGCTAGACATGTAGGAGGAGCAAAATTTTCTTTTCCATTATGCTCGAAGGTCATGACCCATATGAAGTAAAATCACTGCTCCACCTGCTGATTCACTTCATTAATGTTCCACTATTGGATTTTCAAAGAATTTGCATTAGGAGTGTGTTTGCCCTATGTGGCGCTATGGGACGTTTAAGATTAAGATTCAGATGGACGTTATTGATCCTAGGGGGGAATTCTGGTGCATACAGCAGTGAAAATGTAGCACGCAGGCAAACATACATATAGTGTGGAACAGAGAGGGTACAAAAACAGTGCACATAGTGCAAAGAAGTAAACATGGTGCAAATAAATATAAAAACTACACAGTACACAAATAGGGGTTGGAGACAAAACGAAGGCTATTTCTGTAATGGATAGGACATTCAAGCTCATCACAGGACAAATTAGAGACACCAGTTCACCAGGCTGTGTAATTTTGGACGGTGGGAGGAAGTGTAATTTGTACAGTGTAATTTATTGTTTGTTTGTATAGTGTCATTTATTGTTGTATAGTGTCATTTATTGTTGTATAGTGTCATTTATTGTTGTATAGCTTGTATAGTGTCTCTATGTACGAGAGAGTCTCAAGCTGCCGGAACAAATTCCTTGTGTGCCCCAGCACACTTGACGAATAAAGGCTGATTCTGATTCTGATTCTGGAGCTTCCAGAGGAAACCCACCAGACAGGAGGAGAAGATGGACGCTCCACCTACTCCTCAGAGCTGGGGACATGCATCAGGCTCATAGCTTTCTGAAAGGGTGTGAGGCTGAGCTGTTATCTGAGTGATCAGTCCCACCAAAAGGCATATAACTCATATAATTTGTGAGTTATAAGACACTGTCTGGATGCTTTTGTCAGCTGGTAACCTCTTGCCCTGGTATGAGAAACACCAGGGTGCCATATAGCTATGACTCAGTCTTGAACACCCCATATGTTCCATGAAAAACCTCCGACCAGGCTTTTCAGCCCAGGAGCTGCTACCCATTCCCCCAGAGGGGCTGATGTCACTCCTTGTGGCTCTGACTAAACCTGCGCTCACTGCCGTTTGCCTGATCTTTGGTGTGTCTGCTTACAGGGTAGTGGGGACCTTCCCCCAGAACTCCCAGTTATGCAGTTTAACCTCAGTCAACAATGACAATAACCCTGACACCTAGCCCAAATCCTGCCTTTCTCTTAAAATGTTCTGTATTGTTTATATAATGAATACATTGCAGATGATACAGTACAAGCCTTAGACAAAACCATCTATCATTTGCCAACTTAAATCCGCATAAATGCCAAAATAACAAAAAGCTAGGCGCATTCTTAGTTTCTCTTGGTTGCTTTGGACAATTTCTTTAAACAGTCCTGACGTTCTCTCAACTGCTTATGCATTTCTCAAAACAGTTTTCAAATGGCTGAAATTCTCCCTTGTAATACATTGAGGAAAAAATCTTCTTACGTGTCTCAACCCCCCCCCCCCCCTCTACAAGTATCTGTTGCGGTGTCATCACAGGCAGCATCTATTGCAGCGAGTAAAGAACTGTTTTCTACATACTTCACCACTGAAAGGTCCTTTCTGACAGCCGAATTAACATTTTTGCATGTGATGACTTACACCATGCATACGTTTAAATGTTTTGCAGGGTAGAAGCAAACAAATCCTAGTCCAAGAAATCGCTGGATGGTGCCTGTCGAATAGATGGCGGTGGGCACCTTCTTCGCGCATCCACCCTACAATAATATTACTTTTTATTTTAGGACATAGCAGTATAAGCATTCGTCCTTATCGTTATTATCCTATAAAAGTACAAAGATTACTGTCATTATTTCTAAAGGCTTCGACTGGTTTACATTGAGCAAAAAATGTATGCAATAAAGCATACATTTTAATGAGATTTGGCTGACACGAAAATATGAAAGAAGGCAATTACTTAAGAATTTTTCTTTCCATTGTAGCTCGAGGATATTTCGGAGTAAAACGGTCTGGAAACGGTTATATTATATAACAGACTAGACTACTGAATTTAGTCAGACCCTTATAAAATACCGATTATTAGCTACGGGGAACTTTTGAACTTGTTCTGTGACGAGCCGTCCCGGATTGTGCTGACACGGCCGGGGGAGGTGGGCGGAGGGACTCGCTCTGTGATCTCACCCATATGCCCTTTTAAGGCAGCGTCAGTCTGGGAATGCGGAGATCACCGTCTCCCCTCCAGCTCCCCCTCATCTCCCCCTCCGCTTCGGAATGCTGGCCTCTTTACGACGATCACAATTTCGATAAAAATAAATAATAATAAAACCATGCAAATTCATTCTGCACACGCAGACATTTATAACGGAGTGAACCTCTGTTAAACATGAGAAAGACAGCAGGCAGGATAAAAATACATGAATATACGCATTTTAGGAGGACAACACTGAATTCGTCCTATTTTGGTACACTTTTGTGTGAATGAATTCTTCTCCTGTTTACTACAAAACTGAAAGTTGAAATTTTATTGAAAACACACACACACACACACACACACACACACATACCTGCAGGAATGTAATGTATATTATAACCACCACCACCCNCCCCCCACACACACAGAAGCTGTCGGTAATCCTTCTTACAATCGTTGATCCAGTATAGGATGGCAAGAACCTGGAGCGCATCCCAAGCAGGCACAATATGGCCATCTTAGAGACTCAGGTTCACCTAAATGCATCTCTCTCAGCTGTGTAAGGAAGCTAATTGAACTCAGAGGAAAGGCCTGGAACACGGGGGGAACTCAGCCCGACTGCAGGGCAAGATTTAAACGCCTGAATGTTTTCGGCATAGCAAGATGTTTATTCAAATATAGATATAAAAGCCGTTAGGGAAACTCTCTGACGAATAATCAACATGGGCTGTATGTCACAAAGGAAAAGACTTTAAGGGAAAATGTATGTCTGCTTCCTGTATGATCAGACCTTGATATGAATTTTTGCACAGTCCGAAGACCTTTCTGGTCCCGTCAGTCGTGCAATCCAAGTGAAGCCATCACTGCTTCTTGCGTGTTCTCTCCCTGCTTTCTGAAGATACTGTCTGAGAAGGTGCGGAAGCCCGATTCTCCTGAATCTCCTCATGATGGAGAACCAAAGGCTCACTGTACCCTGGGGGTGGGGTCAGACCCCTCCTCGAACTCTTGTGAACGAAGCCTTTCACAAATTCCCCTGCTGTTATTACTCATGAATGAGACCCTCTGTGCCTCTACTTCACGTCCCCAGGCCCTGCTTCCTTTCCTGATACTGCCCCCTACCTGCAATGTAACGTTCACACTAAAATGTGGTTGGACGATGGATCGACAACAGCATTAAACCTTTAAACAGTAAATTATGAAAAAAAAAATGTAAACACATATGCCAAACAAAATTAAGAATTTAAAGTGCTTCATTAACACAATTTAGTGAAATGTAGATGGAAAATTAATTCTGCAGGCAGCATGCAGGATGTGACAACACAGGAAAAACAAACAGATTTACAGCTTTTTTTGTCTCTTTAATTTGAGTCATTCTATACTAACCGAATCATTTCTAAATTGGAAACTGAAAAGAACTTTTAGGACTGACCATTAATTACATCTTGATTAAGGATATCTACAATCAAGCTACTTAATCGCCGGCACGTAATGATAGAGCGTTTATGTTACAGAAGTCGCCCTTAACATGTTCAACATTGTTGGACTAATTGTGCCATCCGTTTAGAAATTGCAAAAAGAAGGCCAATACCTCCCCCTGCTGTTATAAACTGGTCTAACAGTTTATCAATCTATACACGTAGAATTTGTTCATGAAAGGGACACATTAGGACCATCCATAAAAGGCACTGTAAAAAAAGAACATTCAGGAACAATACACATAGCACAAGTAAGAGTTTTAGATCAGATTTTTTTTTTTACAATATACTATTGTATTCTATAATTGTGATTTCTGCCTAAAGCGCATATTTTACATGCAGTTAAAATGACCTAATGAAAATGATGTTGGTTTTGTAGTGTTGATGTGATTAGGAAAAAAATACCCAACATAATTAGTCAAATGTCGCTGATTTTGCAGTTGACGAATTATAAATGTTACCGAGACAGGAACATTTGGCACTTTAGTTTTTCTCTTTAGGTAAAAGGTTACCACATTCTCGTCCGTGTGAGTGCGCGCGCGCGTGCTTGTGTGCATGTGCACGCGTGTGCATATGAGTGTGTGAATATAGCCCTTTAAGAAGGCTGCTGTAACCTGATCTCCGCAGAAGCAGCGTCTTACGCCTTAGTAACCTCCCCCATCACTACCACAACCCAGCCCAGGGCGGAACGCATCTCTCAACTTAAACATGTCAGCCTGCATATTCAACTCAGTTCCGCAGACGCATTTTTACAGGGTTATTCACAATGCAAATGTCATTCAGAGATAACAGCCCGGCGCACGGAGAATAATTTACTTCTTTGCGCCTGGACTAAAATTTATGAACGTGGATTTGAACGGGAAAGTTACGAATAGCAATCGGATGGTTCCTGGTACATATATTGACTACAGTTTTATTCTCTAATAATGAGAGACAAGGTAAGCTGTGACGGGATATGCAATGTGTTTGAATATACCTTTCTTGATAGATTATTGTTTACGTAAGCGTATGTGTGGCTAGTGAAGTGGCTTTACACAGGACTTGCCTTTAAGATGTTAAAGTGTAAATTAACTTACGGCTCCGCTAGTTTCACGGTTAACGTCCACATTTTTTTTTTACCAATCAGTCAGGAAACAGCTCGCTTTCATTTTTGCCGTAAAAGGAAAGTAAATATACTGTACCTTCATAACCACCTATACATTACAAAACTCGTGCGTTTCAAAAAATCATAAAATCTAATTGGGTACCACCACCTCATAATTATTTAACCCTTGTATAAAGTAAAAATAGGAAAATGTTGATAATTTAGTTATCTCGCTCGCTTGCTTTGAATAAGCACGTTATCCCTCTTGCGAAACTTTCTATTACGTTTCATCTTATCTCTATTAAAGGTTAACAGCGGAACTGGCCTTGCTTAATCGTATTGGTCTGCCCAGTAGCTGAGGAATTAGTTAAATGGGCATAATCTCAAGTGCAAAATGTATTTTACAAGCATAAATACGCTGAGTGAGAATATATAAGAAAATTTCATATAAGGAAGCTAGTTTTAGATTACGCTTGTAACGTGCACCTATGGGCAGATATTTCTGTGTTGAAGTGGTGAAGATATTTCTTGAAGTCATTACATGTTTCTATAAAACAGTCAAAGGTTTGGACACACCTACTCAAAATAGCTTGTTTTTCCCAAGATAATGACCTCATGTGCACCTCCAGGTTAAGTAGTAAGTATGACCTTGTGAACAAGAAAAGAGATGGAGGGCTGAGACATATGACCTGCAGCCCCCCTGCAATCCCCTGACCTGAACCGTATGGAGCTGAATTGGGTTGAGTTAGACCGAAGAGTAAGAGCAAGGTAGCCAACTCATGTCCAGAATGTGTGGAAACTTCTTCAGGAAAGTAGGAGGTGCATTACAGGTGGCTACATCTGGAAGCTGGTTGAAAGAACGGCAAGAATCTGCATGGGGCTATTTTGAAGAGTCAAAAATTACAGAAAATTTTGTTGAACACTCCTCTTGGTTCTTGCGATATTCGATACCTATTACTTCATTGTCCTGAGGTCATTTACTAGAGTGAATAACAGCTAAAATAGTAGTTGCATTAAAACTAGGTGGGTCCAGACTTTTGATTGGCGCTATGGTATTTATTTTGATTCTCAATCTATTTCCATATGATGAAAAACATACATTTGATTCATATAAATTAAAGACGTGGCTTCAATAGATTGTAATTGTTAGGCAGTGAGCCATATTGTGAGAGATTGGGACATGTAATAGATTGCACAGAATACATGATAATTGGTGAGAAAGGTTTACACGGAACTGCATGCTGTAGCCCCCTTAAGCACTGTCAGCTACAATGGGCCACTTAATCGGTTGTGTGCTCCCTGGCTGTTTTAGAAGACGTACCCAAGCTGCATGGCTGCCAGTTTGTGGCACGTTTGGCTGATCGCATGGGGTTCAGTGTCATAAAATAAACTGCCCACCTGCCCTTGGCTGAAGCAACTGTACCACTCAGAAGTTCAACTGACAACTGTGTGCATTCACATAAAAAGCTAATTTTCTTTTAAAAATAAGCATCTTAGTATATAGTATGATGCTAAACTTGCTTATAGCAAGTTAAGTTATTGGTGTTTCTAAATGGCCCGAGGTCCTCCACTTTTCAGGGGCCCTAGACAAAACCTTACATGGGAGGCCCCCATACCAAGAAAATTGACCATTTTACTTAGTCCACAAAGCAGTATGCAAATTTGAAGACCCCAGTCAACTGCCTGTCCTGCCTAAAGCTAGAGTCGGCAATGGAATAACAGGCAAAATGTAATTTAATAATGCTGAGCTTTGGTGCTGAATAATTTGACCTTGCAGATTTACCTGTCTGCTTTGCCCTCCGCTTCTCCCAGACTATGCATTCGTGCATTGATTGAATCGAAGCTGAAAAACCGGTTCAGCGGATCATGATTTTGAGATCCAGATGATTGTCCCACAATTGCGACTCAGTTCGTTGATGCTAAGATGACGAATGGGATTGGTTGGTTTAATGCCAAAGTGGCTGTTATATAGCTACCACGGACTGGAGGAAAAAAGCAGTCAAGACCATAGCTAGGGTTACTCAAAGGGATTACTCAAAGGATTACTCAAAGGGGTTACTCAAAGGGATTACTCAAAGGGGTTACTCAAAGGATTACTCAAAGGGGTTACTCAAAGGGGTTACTCAAAGGGATTACTCAAATGAACCCAACAAAAGAAGAGCTAAGAAGTCAGAAGTAAACGAGCCAGGAGGTGGCAAACCCAAGGGCTATTGAAGGCTTCCTCTTCACAGAAATCTGTTCAAGCCTCAGCAGTACAGTAATGCACTCGGGGGGGGGGATAGATCACTCCCTAGTGGGGGAGTAGATCACTCCCTGGTGGAGATAACTGTTACTGGATTGATTGATGATGCCTCCCTCGCTGCTGTACAATACATTTACATTTAATTTATTTACAGTAGCATGACGTTTCCCAACCTGGCCCTAGGTCCCGCGGGGAGGGAGCAAACATGCGGAGTGTCTGGTAGCCCCCAAAGACCAATTTAGGAAACAGTGATTTAGCACTTTTATCCAACGCATGCAGTTAGGAAAGCAGGATCAAATATTCACTGGAGCTGTTATGGGTTAAAGGCTTTGTTCAGTGAAATCACTCTATTGATCATGGGATTTGAACTATCAACCTTCTGATTATGGGTACATAACTGCAGGGCTACACACTGCGGTTGGTAGCGGGTTGTTGTTGCCCACATGGTGAGGTCACGACACCGAGGGGCTGGCATCCGTCATTGAGCTGATGCCAGGCTCACCAGTTTTCAGATTTGACTGGGAGGAGGAGGGCAGGACCAGTGATGGATTTGCAGTCATTCTTAAGGCTGGATCACACTTCTCCGCACACGCATAACACTTGCACATCCACACTGCGTATACGGACACGGAAATGTTCACACTTCTCTAGTCAAGCCGTGCACTTTGCACAAGCGCACAGCGGAATAACACTCCGTTCCAACATGTGATTCCAATATGGATATCGAAGAGGAAAAGCTCGTTCACGTACAGTGTGTCCAGAGCTGTGCATACACTGTCCATGTGGACACAAATTTGGAGCACGAGAACGTAAAAAGACTTCATAAAAGTCCACGAGGATACGTCCGCGTGAACGCGTGCAGAGAAGTGTGAACCAGCCTTCAGTCTCCCTGTGAATGCTGAACGGGCTGAGTTTCCCGCCGTAATCAAAAGCTGCCAGCACTGACTGAGGTAGTTAAGGTCGAAGGGCTCAGTTTTGGGATGGGTTGTTTAGTTTTAAGTTTCAGGTTTTTGTTAAACAATATGCCAAATAAGATTAGGTATTACCTTTACTAAAATGTCTCGAAAGTAATATGCCTAGTAAATGTTTAGATGAATGGCAGTTTAAGAACATTTACTTTGTCTCCAGCTTAAATGCACAATCCTTGGCATGAACAAAGGATTTCATTGACTCAGACATCTCTTCTTAGAAAGTCAGATCCAGTCATTGTCTGGCTTTTTGTGAGAATGCCAGATATCACTGCAATACTCAGCATTACTGTCATAATCATTAACTCACAGCTAGGGTTTGTTTTTCAGGTCGTTTTTTTTGTTTTTAACCCCCATTAGGTGATTTATGAAAGAAACTGCAACACCTCACTGTAAAGAGTGATCGAATCTATGAAGAAATAGTGTCTAAACCAGCCCAAAGCACTGCACGCACGATGTATGACACGATAGTGCTCCTCTTCGCTTTTTGATCAATTCTAGAACCCTGGAACTCCATAACGATGAAGGAACACTTTGATTGTGGCCAGCAATGCACGTGATTTGCCATAGTATTATCTATGAAATATTCCCCTAATATTACTTTTAAAATATTACTATATTTTATTCCTAAAACACCAATGTCTCAAAGGGCATTAATGATATTTTTGAAATTTTGGGTTTAGCCAAAAATTGGAGGTAAATATGAGTTGTATAGAGCCCCACTCTGTAAGTTGTATAACATTACTGGGTATGTTGGTTATTTGTCTAATTTTAGCTTGCACTACATGACCTCTTGTTGTATGGATGTATAATATATAGCCTCCCATATGGCGCTGTCCGTCTGTAAAATTAGTCTCCAGATAACCGGTATCGTGTAACTGATGCTGTATTTCAGTTGAAGTCTAAGTTTTACTGTATATATTCCATTCATCATGTGTGTATCTGTTTAAAGACAAATGTGTAATACATGTCAATCCCAGAATGCATAACACGACTGTTAATTCTCAAGGTTAAGGTCAAATGGTAAACACAGAGGTAACTTTTCTGTGGGCTGTTTCCGTACTCAGACCCGCCCAGCTTGCTTGTCAGGGGAGGGTATTCTCCATTCCTCTCTCTCCCAGTCTCTCCCAGTCGCTTTTTGTGTGTAAGTCCAGATTAGTAGGAAGAATCCAATTTGTGGCTCTTCCCAGGAGCACAATTGAAGTTTGTTAAAACTTCCTCTTGTGTCCATTGTGATTCTTACGGTTTTTGTACGTTTCTTTTCAATGCCCCTCTTTTCAGCATTGGCTGCTCATGGATACCTTCTGCCCGCTGGTAACGGGCATCTCGATGACCAGCTTCCTCGCCTTTCAGTGCCTGTTTTACAGCGTCAGCCCCTGGCTCTCCGCTCGCATCAGTGCAGGCTTCCCGATGCTCAACGGCAAGCAGAAGATCGAGTGGAACTCCAGGTAAACAACCATCTGTCTGTCTTATCGTGGTGGGAGCCTGTTGTTTGTGATGGGCGTCCCTGCAGGATCTACTTCAGAATGCGATGGCGAGAGGTTCTGTTTGACGTGGGCATGAGACATGGAACAATATTTGGTTGAAAAGCAAAACTGAAATGAAAAAGCGTAACTCTGACAGTCAGGGAAATAAACATGGATGGTAAGTGCTAGGGTTAGGGTTAGGTTAGGGTTCGGGTTAGGTTAGGGTTAGGGCGATGGATTCTCTGCTGCTGGGACACAAGGGCTGATTGGGTGTTCAGGAAGCTGATGATAGAGAGCACAACACCTTTTATACCGTGGAGGACTGGTTGCAGGTAGAAAGAGTTTGTCACCTGACTTGGTCCTATCGAGGAGGTCCGTGCCTTCTCCCATCTGAGTGATGGACGTAAGGAAGTGGAACAGTTTACGCAGTTGGCTGAGGTCTTCAGGGTGGAAAAACCAGTGACACAGCAGTGCTCTGAGACCTCTCCGGGGACCTAAAATGGATGTAAAGGCCATTTTGCATCGTAACTGGTTCAATGGCGTAAATAACTCCAGTGTGGAAACACCTGTTTCTGTCATGATCTTTCCTGTTGACTGCTGTGGGATCGAATGCTGCAGGACAATGTTAAGTGTGGATGTGCTGTAGAGCCATTCGAGATTCTCTGTGAATGATTTCCATTTGAATCATGACCTGTTGTTGATTAAACCCTTTATCATTCTAAATGCATCAACACAATTCACAAGCCCAAGACTAACATTCAAATAGTAAACAGATTGACTTTTCAAGTATTCAACATTATATTTAAAATTCAGTGGTGGGAAAATTGTAAAGAAAACAGTTGAGTTAGGTGAGCAAACTGCCTGTTTATAACTGCAGAAATTTTAAGTTTAACCCATTTGATAGTTTATCAAAATTTGAGACTTTAGCTAATGGTTTTAGACTGTGTGATCAGGCATTTAGTAGGGATGTATAAGGCCGCTTTAACTGTAAACTCTGGTATTTTTCATGGTCAAACCAGCCAGGTCCCTCTTCTTTCCCCTTCACCTCAGTGAAAGGGCTGCATTTAAGGTTAGTAGTAGGGATTATCTGGAGTTTGTTTAGGTTATGCACAGGATCAATGAAACCTTTCATCGCATGGAATAAAGAACAGCTTGTGAACAGAGAGGTTAGTATTTCAGACCGTTTCATGCAAATAGTCACAACACACATAAAGCTGCTGGTCGAGGTGTTCACACCTGCAGGCTGTGCTTGGGAGGGGGATATGGGGGGAGAGACTGACTAGGGAAACAAGACGCATGATATCTGAGTTTAGCTTATATCACCTTACTGGCCTCAGTGATTCGCCTGCTTATTTAAAAGGGATGTACTTACTAATTTCTTAGCAAAGTAAATGTGCACTGTTAGATTTCATCAGACACTGCGTTTCCTGTTAGATTACATGCAAAACGACATTTTTTTCCAGAAGCGTGGAGCATGCCACCCATCTGGTTGGGATATTTGGGTTCATTTTTCTTTATTAGCCGCTTTGATAAGCAGATGTGTGATGTCACGTGTGGCTTTTTGCTCCAAAGGTGCATAGTAAACCAGATTAGACTCATAAAATCATGCTACTGTGACTTAAATGGCTCATCGTTTCTTGGAGGAGGCTTTGTTTAGCGTGAGTTTGAGTTTAGCATGCGTCTGTCTTTTTTTGTGCTGTTCTAGGACAGTGTCCACGCTACATGCCGTCGTGGTGGGGCTCTTCTGTCTTTACATCCTGTTTTTCGATGACGCCGTTAATGAAGACCCTATCTGGTAAGCCTTCTGCCCAGTGTACGCTGTAACAGCGATTTCACTGTAGTGTTTTGGCATATAGCAATGAAATACAAATCCCAGAATTCCTTTGTGTCTTTTTTTTTTTTTGCTTTGCTCCCTCCCTCTTATTGACTGACAACAGGGGTGATCCCGCCCTGGTGAAAATCAGTGTGGGTATAACTACAGGGTACCTCATTTCAGGTGAGAAGTCAATGGCTCTGCGTTCTTGGCGTAATTTTCAAATTATCTTTATCTTTTACAGTTGGCTGGACACCACCAGTGCTCTCTGATAGCTGTATTACCTAACCGTGAAATCTGTACCCTTCTAAGACAATTAGGGATAATAAAACCGACTTTAGTTGGCTTTAATTGGTTAATTGCCCATTGATGCTTTTTTTTGTTGCAGATCTGCTTCTCATACTTTGCTATTGGACTGCTATAGGGGAGATGTCTTATGTAGTTCATCATCTGGCCTCGTTGTATGCTTGCTACTATGTACTGGTGAGTTCCATATTGTCCAATAGCAGGGTGTGCAGGCAAGACAGGAAGATGGCAATGGGAGGGGGGGAGGGTCATGTGGGGCTTTGCACTGACTGGTGAGGTGAGGATCAGAACCAGGAGGAACCAGGCCTCCAGCCTGGCCCGAGATTTGGGAGGGTTATTCACTGGGCTGACACTCACTAATCCTATGATTTATTATGTGTTATGTGTCCCCTTGAAATGTCAGTCAATCATGTGACTCATCTGTCGCTGAAAAAAATATCATATTCAACACAATAGTCATGTAATAATAGGTTATTAAGAATTTTGCAAGTCTTTCAAGGTGCCTGACATCCATCTTGATGGATCACCTTGAATAGAGTGAACGGAGAACACAGAAGTATTATTTCAGAAAATGTCATTTTTCGGTTGGTGGTTCCAAGAGACAAATCATCTGAAGTTAGAATCTAAAAGATGGTTTTATCAATTCCTTACAACTCTGTACTGGATAAGAGGTTAGAAAAGTGTGAGGCAACCATGATCCAAGAGTACAAGTATCCATCTGGTTCTTTATCGAACCTGATGAGTTCCTATCTGCCTGAGATCAGGTGTGGTTCCAGTCCAGAAAGGATGGAAAACCTGCTGGACACCAGCACTCCAGGATCAGGGTTGCCTACCCCTGGATTAGAAGATGGGTGGATGGTATTATTAGATTGAGATTAAGCATCTTGGAAAAGTGTCCCTTAAATGTTATGGGCCTGGCCTAGATTTTCCTTTCCATCTGTATCTCTTGGTTCGCTGAGGGATTAAAAGAAGAACACAACAGGTTCGGTTTGGGAAGTGAGCAGTTCAGTTGGGATGTTAAGCAAGATCCAGGGGAGGCTGTTAAGGATCAGACCTGGGGATATCTGACCATGAAAAACCTCCTGTCTTCTCTGCGGCTAGTGCTGTTGAGTACAGAGGGCAGATCCAATGCCCAATAACAGTATGAACTTACCAGTATTTTGGGGTGCCAGCATACAATGCTGGGAAAATGTTAAAGTGCCCAGAGAGTGTTGTCTGTGTCCCAAACCCAGTAAGGACACATCTGTTTAATTCCCCTTAGAGAATTACAGGTAAATTGAATGTTGCTGCAAACTCTACCATGATGCTGATTTCTCAGTCAAACACGACAGATAATCTTGATTTTTTTGCTCTGGATTCTTCCTTCCATTGACCTGCACGTTTGTCACGTCCTTTGTGCTGCACACTGACTGAGATTAAGTATCTTTTGAATTGGCATCGGCAACAATCGGTAGTGTTCTAAATGTTATAGTCCGAGGGCCTGCGGGTGTTTTACTTTCACTAGCATTTAGTTCCTTCTCTATTTTAGTTTAAATTAACATTGCTTTCTATTCATATGATATCTGAAAGCAAACAAAGGTGGAGAATGTGTGAAAGATATGAATGCTCCTTTGGGATTGATGCTGCCTCGCTAATGCTAATCTTAGCACTGACTTGATATGGTCAGCACTCTTAATCCAGTGATGCCTTTTAACCAAAGTCTTCTTTCACCCCCAGTGTTGGCTTGGGGGTCCCAGTTGACCGTTGCCTTGTTTTTTCAGGGTCAGGGTGTGTTACCCTACTTTGCTAACTTCCGTCTGATCGCGGAGATTTCCACTCCCTGTGTGAATCAGCGGTAGGTATGTCCAGCCAAGAGCACAAGCATGACTGAGGAAGCAGCAACCCTGTGCTCTTTAGGAGAACAGCAGTCATTGTTTATGACTTTAAGGATTTAAGCTCTAGATGAGCTACGGCTTTTCAGTTCAGGAGAACTGAAACCAAAAAATGTTGAATTGATGTTAGTAGTCACTCGCTTCCAAAACTCATTACACACATTGTGAATGAACTTGCTGATTGTTTCTGGAAACAGGCTCCATTTATGATGACACTTGAGCTGAATGTTGTTCTGATTTATTTTGAAAGTCTATGGTGATTTTTGTCCCCCGATATAAAGAGGGCTCTGTAACACAGAGGTGTCGTGATAAATAAGATTTGGCCACCCCCTGGTTTCTAACCCACGGGTTAGCATTACTTTTTGGTCCTTAATACTTATACTGACCTTTATAATGCATTATGAAGGTATCTATAGTGCATTATAGATGAGGGCTTCATTGGTGCTTAAGAAGTATTAGAATCAACATTATAATGCCTTATGACTATCCACAGAAGATGCTGTAATGCTTTATTAAAATAACAATTATACAGGTAACTATAATGCATTATAGATGACATCTTTGAGTAAAGTGTTACCAAGTGTTGTTGTCTTTTAGACTGAGAGATAAACAGTGTTCCTGCGAGAGCTTTAACGTGATTGGTGTACCCCTCCCTTGCCGTGATTGGTCATTCTGATTCCATCCCTTTCAGTTGCTTATGCTGCCCTCTTGTGTCTTACAGCTGGTTCTTTGAAGTGTTAGGGTACCCCAAGTCCTCCAAGCCCAACATAGCCAACGGCGTCTTGATGGCGGTGACATTCTTCTTGGTGCGAATCGCCGTCATTCCCATCTACTACGGCAAGATGTACTCCGTCTATGGCTTGGAGTCTATGGCTCGGATGCCCTGGGGCGGCCGTGTTGCCTGGATCTTCTCAAGCATCTGCCTGGACATCATGAACATCGTGTGGATGCATAAGATCGCCCGGGGCTGCTATAAGGTCTTGCTCTCCAGCCAGCGGAAAAAAACAGAGTTGCAAGAAAACGGGAAGCCAGATTAAATACAAAGGATGACTATACTTCTGTCCCGGGCGAGAGTTGAAAGATAAACTCAGTCAAACTAACTACTTGAAGACTAAAGGGCCACACCTTAATGATGGTAATGCACAAAGTAACCATAGAAACAAGTCCTAGATGGGGAAGGATGCTGTATTCCGAAGGAGAAGTGACGTTTTTTTATCCTCAACCAAACTTATGCAAAATCACCCTCTTTCAAAGTAGTTTGTAGGCCATTACTTTATTTTATTTTATTGGCTTTTATTTTGAAAAGAAGTGGAGCTAACATGCACACCTGACAATATCCATCCTTAGGTATAGGTGTACCAAGTGTCATACGCTACACCGGAGTGTCCAGTGTGATTAAGTAACTGGGGAAAAACTGAACAAGGAGCAGAAGATTTTTAATTTTTTTTTATTCTTCATGTCCATTACTTGAGTCACTGTGACTGGGAGACAGCATGGTTCTTGTATAAGTCCCTGTCATTTTTATGTTATTGTTTTTTTGTTAGACACGAGGAACGGTTTGTGTATAATTTATGTTGGGAATATTTTTTTTTTTTTCATCCGAGGATTAAGTATTTTTGCTATCAAAGGCATAAAAAGTGCACTTACATTTAGGATATGATATTGCACATGTCAAACTGTATATTGTCGGTACTGTAATCTGTTTGTACCCTGCCAGAGGTATGTAACAATGCATTAATAACGCATTACACACATTTTGTAATGACACCGCATTATGTGATAACAGAATGTTACAAATTTATAGACATTATAATTTTATATTGCAACATTACCTTATTGTTATTATTATCATTGTTATTTTCATTATCATTTAATTAGTTGCATTCTGTTTAATTATTACATAATGTTGCATTATTACATAATGTGTTGTTACAAGGTACTGGTATGGAGTAGGTTGGTGGAATTACGAATATATTTCTGACCTATAATATGCACTTACAGTAGTTACATATTTGATTTCAAAGCTATTGATTGGTTTGTAAGTTTAGAACAGACGTTGCTAAAATCTGTTTTCAAGTGACTAGGGATTTACTTACCAAATTCATAAATTCATAAAGTTGATCTCAGTATTTACATTATTTTGTTTTTAACACACCTGAGCCAAATGCTCAGTTTGGCTGTTGTTTTACATGTTGATGAGAGGAAGCGTAAAATTTTTTTGGCTTAGGTCAGTGTCTCCCAACCCGGTCCTTGGGGACGCAGAGGCAGTCCATATTTTTCTCCCTCTCAGCTTGGTGACATAGAGGCCTCACTGTCGTGACCTCACCATGTGGGTGGCGCCAAACTGCTACCAGAGGGAGTGTGTAGCTCTGCAGGTATGTACCTGTGGTCAGAAGGTTTCAAATTCCAAGATAACAGAGTGATTTCACCGTAGGGCTCTTGAGAAATGTCCTTAACCCGCAAGGGATTCTCTGACCCTACTTTCCTAATGGTATGTTGCTTTGGATAAAAGCGTTGCTAAATCAGTCTTTCCCAACCCGGTCCCCAGGGACCCCCAGACAGTCTATATTTTTGCTCCCTCCCTGGTTCTTGCCAGACAGTCTACATTTTGCTCCCTCCCTGGTTCTTGCCAGACAGTCTACTTTTTGCTTCCTCCCTAGTCCCTGCCAGACAGTCTACATTTTGCTCCCTCCCTGGTCCCTGCCAGACAGTCTACATTTTGCTCCCTCCCTGGTTCTTGCCAGACAGTCTACATTTTGCTTCTTCCCTAGTCCCTGCCAGACAGTCTACATTTTGCTCCTTCCCTGGTCCCTGCCAGACAGTCTACATTTTGCTCCCTCCCTGGTTCTTGCCAGACAGTCTACATTTTGCTCCCTCCCTGGTTCTTGCCAGTCTACATTTTGCTCCCTCCCTAGTCCCTGCCAGACAGTCCTCATTTTATTGTCAGTGACCATTGATGATGTACTGTACATACAATGCTAACGCTCTTGCCTTATTTCTGCATTGAGTTGTACAAGAACAATGCTGTACCCAGATCTGCATTCTGTACAGCTCGTTCCCTGGTGTGAAAAGAAATACAGAGTTTCAGGAGAGATTAACAGGCGGTATTACATAAAAATGGTCGAAATAGGGGGATAACTGCAAAAGATAACCCCTGGTGAGACACCCCAAAGCGTGACAGACAGCAAAAGTTGTAAAGGGGGAACTGCAGAGAGAGTATGACAAGAAGAAGGGGCGTGCAGTGGCATCCAGTGACACGCAGAGTACTCGTGCGACATTATTGAGGTATCACAAAGCGTGAAAAGGGAAGAATACATATGCGAGCGCTGTGTAGATGTGATTACTTCATATCGCTGAAGGTTTCCATAGGAACAAAGACCCCATTAGAGTGACCTGTTGGGGTTGCATTGTAATGAATTCTATTGTGTTCCATGAATAACATATACTTAAAACCTTTCTTTATTTGTGAATGGATTCAGTCCGCAAGAACAAATGCGAAAATTGCAGTGATATAAGTCACACAAGTTGCCTTTCTTGACAGGACACTTTAAGTTGTTTAAGGGTAAAGTGTGTCATTACACCACAATTCCAGGGGAAAAAAATGCTGAGAAACTGTATTGTGTAAATATGAACGTTTCCTTTGTTTGTGCTAAGTTTGTTAGGTAGCTGGACATTACTAGCTGTTCCGTGCAACACAAGGAATAACACTCCATCTGAATGTTGCTGTTATTGACAATGTTGCACTTCTGAAGAATATAACTGTGTCACTGGCAAAAGTATAAGGATGAGGACAAAGATCAGTGGAGTTTTGTATAATATAGGCCTACTGATAATGTCACATTAAAAACCAGAATGTCACATTTTACAACAGAACAGAGCCAGAGATTTGCCTTGTTGTCCCCCCAAAGGGATTAACATGCGATATGTAGGTGTATCAGGTTGGATTTCTCTCTGGATTTATACCTTGTAAACAATCATACATGCTGCTAGCTGAGTAATACCCAACCCCACCTTTTTCATGCAAGTGCTTCAGAACAGCCAAATGTTGGAAACTTTAGTAATCTTAGTCTGAAATTTACAAAGAGGAAATTAATTGTACCTTTTTACCTAGGGATTAGGAACTTTTTTTGACATTGTTTCTTTTATTACTCGAAATACAGTTATAAGCAGTGCCTTTTATTTTTTTCTATTAACATTATGTATTTTTTTCCTATTTGTCTCTGACTAAACTGACAAGTAGCAATGAGACTCATTCCTTTGAAATCAGGAAGTACTGGATTAACAGGTTGGCGCCAGGTTTGTGTAGCCAAAAACATAAAATCGACCACTGACAAGAGTATTTAATTGGGGTAAATATTTTTTAAATCCCTGTGACACTCCTAATGATTCATGCATGCACACCTGATGTTTTTCTGTTCCATGTATTGTTCTTATGTCATTAATCACCAGAGAAGTTTTAATTCAAGGATAAAAATTCATGTTGCATTGTCGTTTCAAGGTCAGTAGTCCTGCATGGTATTTATGGGTCAAAATATACCATGGTTATATTTACAAGAAAGAAATGTTTTCTGCAAAAAATCAGCTTTGTTTACTTAATTCTCTTTAAATTCTTAATCAAAATCTCATAAATTTAAAATCTGACAGTTTTTCCTGCCTAAGGCGATTTGACCATAAAATGAAAATGCCAATAAAAGATGGACCTAATTTTTATGCTGTTTTTTATATTGTCTTTAATGAAAAATATAAAGCTAAGATAAAACCGCACTAGGATTAAGCAGCAGGTATATATACACTAGGTGTACAATGTAGAGGATTTTGAATACCATCAACAAGTCTTACCAAAGATTGTGACCAGCTGGAATTTGAGACAGGATTGAAACCAAGACCAGTGCAATCCAGATCACTTCAATGCCAAGACTGATGTCAAAATACTCCAACACACACTGGTAAGAACAGTGGTGATAATGCTTGGTGCACTGAGCTTAAAATGCTTCAGTACAACATCCACCCGGCTGTGTAAATATGTTAACGCTAGGATATACAATTTTAGATCGTCCGGGAGGAAACGTGGCAACTATAGCAAAAACCGCATGACGCATTTGATAAAACCAACTGAAACATGCTGTAGTACTTTAGACGGAAGATTGATAAAATACATGATAAAATTAAAAAAATACTTTTAATACTTTAATTGTTATAAGAGTATGGCAGGTGCATGTTTATCGCATTATCCATACGATCGCTATTATTTTTTATTTCAAAGAAATAAACAGAACCGAACACGCTACAAGACCACATTTTCAACACGGATGTGACATCTTTATTACGTAGACTGAGTTCTACACGTGAATTTTTCTTCCGGTGTTGTCGCAATGCATTGTGGGAAGTTCCGCTTCTCTTCTGCATATGACATTGGATCAAATCTGGACAGCATCGTTTAAGTAGGTGAGTGTTAAAAGTTCGAACACAAAATATTTTTGCATGACGTAGTTTAAATCGCGCTCTAGAAAATCACTCTCAAACGGCTCTCAAAAGGTTTATGGGAATTGTTACGTTATGCCGTGAGTCATACACGTGTCTCTCCCACCTTCATATACAGTAATCATATATCACCTTGCTTTTCATATATGACTTATCTGGAGTTCCTTAAATGTTTCATCCCGAACATTTAAAGTTAACTTAGTAATTCTTTGTATTTTGTAATAATATTTTATTATTACTTGCATATTTCAATATTGTATCTGTATGTGATTTAGGTAAATATGCAGAAGTGGGTAGTTCAGGTCCATTGAGCAAAAGTCCAGACCTAGATTTTGTTTCAACAAACCAGAGTCACAGTCAGAGTATTCAGCCGGTTGGTTGAACGGACTTATGTCATAACGAGATCATTTTTGTTTTTCTCTGGGCCCCTCACCTCTGTAGAAATGGGTGCGACAGCGTCCAGTCCCACCACGACGGTGAAGGCGGAGGACGCAGTGGTCCCTCAGCACGGTGTTGATGCTGCACAACCTGCAGCTGGTGTTGCACATGGACAGCACCATCGGGGTAAGTGCTTGCAGCACGCTGACTTCAGGAAGGTTCTCCAGCTGCTGCCTACATGGCTGGATATCTTCCAGAAGAGAGTCAAGTTCATTGCCTTATTTTCAGGGGTCCAACATCAGGGCCCATCACAGATCTGGAAGTACCTTTCCAGTCTGGGCCCAGTGTCACGTTGTTCTTGTGTCCAGCTGTCTTAGAAACTTTTAACCTGGAAGCAACCTGCTGCTCCGCATAGCCTTCTGCCAGCAGAACCAGGATTAAACCAGGATTTTAAACTGCAGATTTTTGAAAAAAATAATGAGTTTGTCTCGTAATTTTTTCCAGAGCTGTATGTTACTTTAAAGCTGTAGTTTCATTTGAGTCCATTTTTCTTCTGTGTTTTTTTCGATGGTCTTAAAATGTATTATTTCTTTGGACATAGAGACATAATAAAAAAAAATATTGCTATTGTTTGTCTTCCTTAATAAGAATGTGTAAGTGTCACTTGTGTACTAAAAATGTCTGCCTGTGGACCTCAGCCTTTCTGTCAGGAAGCCCCCCACCAGAATGCCCTATGCACCAAGCTAAGACAGGCGCGTCAGAGGAAGCAAGGGCGCCCCCTCCTGGTCCAGTGCATCAGGAACGAGCCTATGAATTTGTGGAGTGTCCAATGAGGGCGGCGTCTGGGGTTGGCCAGGGTACAGGTGACATCGACCCGGCAAACATGGTGCGTAGAACCAGGATGCCGCCTATTTTGGTGAAAATGCAGAGTGTAAGGTTGATTTAGCTACTTTACGGTCTTCTACTTGTTTACTTCTAGGTTTAGTCAGGAATTAGGGGAATCTGGGTTTTCCTTATGTTCTTGTTTTCTTTCCGTCTCAGATGCCTCCGCCGAACCAGGCTCCTGCTCCTGACCAGCCCTTCGGACTGTCTCTGAGCAGGGAAGAGTCCAGAATCCCGCGGGCTGGAACCGACAAAAATTGGGTCTACCCCTCGGAGCAGATGTTCTGGAATGCCATGCTTCGCAAAGGGTACGTTAGTAAAATGCCCTCCTCCCCAGCCCCCAACACCACCCAGTAACGGCATACCCTTATCCCACTGAGGTACCTGGACACTCGCACGCCGGATGACAAGCCCTTCTGATTAAGCGAATTGTTTCCCGCTGGTTATAAAAACAGGCTGGGAGAATTGAAATTCCGCCAGGCATCCAATTTAAAAACACATTGGATGTGGCCTGTAGGTGGCGCTGGAAGGATGATGACCTTTCTCAGAAAGACATGACGAACATCATTAAGATCCACAACCAGAACAATGAGCAGGCGTGGCAGGAAATCCTGAAATGGGAAGCCCTCCATGCTAGGTGAGTCCACAGCTATATCTTTCCCCGGCATGTAACCTAGCAAGTATGGAACCAGACAGCTGCATGTTTGAATCTCGGAAGGGGGACCTGCTGTTGAATCACGTGAACCTAGGGGAATTGGGAATTTCCTGAAAATGATAGATGTGAATGATCATTTCTTTAGGGAATGCCCATGCGGCCCCACTCTGGTACGGTTTGGAGGGAAAGCTAAGGAGCTGTCTCCCAGGGCTCGTATCCGCAGCTTCATGGGGTGAGTTTTTAATACAGCTATTTTAAATTGATTCAGGCAGCAAAGATATCCCAGTTCCGCTACATGATGCAGGAAATCCCAGTCTTGCTAATATTTACCCATTGCTGTCTGTTTTAGGTACGAGCTGCCTTTTGACCGGCATGACTGGATAGTGAACCGCTGTGGGAAGGAGGTTCGATATGTCATCGATTATTATGATGGGGGTGAGGTGGACAAGCAGACCTATCAGTTCACGATCCTCGATGTCCGCCCGGCGGTGGACTCCCTCGGGGCGGTGTGGGACCGGATGAAAGTGGCTTGGTGGAGGTGGACTTCGTGAATTCATGCTAAGAACCTAAACGCACAACATAAAGGGAAGTTCTAAAATCGAAAAAATATAAGTTGGCAGGATTGTATCTCAGTTTTCTGCTAGTAAAGGCACAGAAGATCTTCTGTTGGCAGTTACACAGAAAACTATATTTCACAGAGGTTATTCGAAACCTTATGGGTATTCAGCTCCAGGTTAAAGGTACATAAGTATTACAGCTAATATACATCTAACCCGGCACAGAATACCTGGCTAGATGATACTATTTAACATACCAGCACAACAGATCAGTTCGTTGATAGTGCTGTATGTTTCATTTAGATTCACAGATTTTAGGATAAAGAGCTACATATATGATTTTGAGCAGAAACGCAGTGCTCTGAGGTTGCATGCCTTTTATTATGTTGTATTTTGGTAACTGTGGTTGCACACTTGCAGGCAGGTTGTTCTGTTAGCTGTGTAATGCTTTGTGTTGGTCAGGTTGAAGGTCACAGTAACATCTGCCTTTTTTCCTGTGACTTTTCTATACCTTTATAGCTGATAATGGCACTGGGTGCTGTGTGAATGTATCATCTGACCAAGATGTGTATTTCAAATCAGATTCTGAGTATCAGCTCATTTTTATTCTGCTTACTTTACAAATGGATAAAAATGGCAAATAAAGTTAGTCTCTTTTCAGTGGTTTAAATACCCAAAAATGCTCCAAATTTGAGCACAGGCAGGGCAAACTTAAGGGCATGATTGAGTGCAGATGTTCACAGGCTGGGGAGTGGTTGTGTTCCATGCAGTCATATTGCATCACAACGGTAGCGTTTCTCTGTTGTTTTCCAACGCTGCATGCCAGTCGTGTGAAGTGATACTTTTGTTCTATGGTGGATTTGCTCAAACTCTGTAATTGTACTGATTCATGGAGTCTCTGATTTGCTAATATGATTTTGTTGCAAGTAATTTATTTATTTGTCAGCGGACTGATTTTCTTTGTGTGTAGATAATGCAGAATTCCAAATAAAAATCTCACTTTTCTACCAAGATTTCTGGCTATTTTTATACACAGGCTGACCCTTTTCTCATACTTTGAGTTTGTTCTGTTATTCAGACATGTTTCGAGTGTCTGAAATGTAGCTGAAAGCACTTGAACAGTCTGGGGATCCCCCCCCCCCCCCCCCCACCACATCCACTGCTTTTATTTTTTCGTCCTCTAATGTGATGCAGACAAATCAGAAACTTAAAAAAGATAAAAGACTGTAAATCATGCAAGTGGGCTGCATGTCCCTGCACTTGACTACAATAAAAATGGAAATGAAATAGAGCATTTATATTTTTTATTAAGAAAGTAGATCAAAGGTTACAGTTTTATTATTTAAAATTAATTTCCATTTGATATCAAATATCGGACAATTCTTTAATAATGGTTACGATCCTATACGCGGAACTAAAGTGTGGATTAAAGAAACAACCCGGACCATTTACATGACGGACGTCACGGTACTCCTTTGTGGTTAATCATAATTCAGAGAATTTCAGACTTGTCAATTATGAGCGTATCGATTTGTACATGCAAAGTATCACCGGTGGTACAAGTATGTCCGAAATAGCATTGGATGAGGTTTCAGTTTTATCAGCAATTTATTGCGAAAGGGACGAGTTTGCATTGCTTGAGCAGTCAGGTGAGAAGTGCGATCTCTTCGGTGGAAGTCATATTTTACGGAACTCGTAAAATGAATAAACTATGAATAATTATTAAACTAAATTAACTGATGACGTATTACTCCTACATCAAAGTCTGCATGATCGACCTGTAAAATGTATATAGTAATGCAAATTCTCAGAATTAGGGGTGTCGGAGCGGCATGGATACCCTGGTAGATTCAGTGGGGCCAGCACTAAACAGGGGCCATTGAATACGTAAAAATGGGCGTTGGGGCGGGTAAGGTGACATTTTTTCGGGTGGGCCAGAATCTCTATGTACACCCCTGCTCATAATATAACAAATGTTAATTATAATTTCTTGTTATTACAGATACATTAGTATCTTTAGATACATCAGTTGTTTGTGGATAACGGTGTATGACACTTTAGTTCTGCATGACAATTTTTGTTGTTATACCTTTACAGAGGAAAAGGGCACCCTTTTCCAAATCCGTATCATGGTGGCAGACCGTTCGGAAGGGAAGTCACTGAATCTGCTTTTCCAGTTGCCCCCTGAGTATCCATCCTGTGTGCCCATTATCTCTGTCAACTCAGAGCAGCTCACTAGAAAGCAGTGCCAAGGCATAAAGCAGAAATTGCTAGAAAAGGCTTCCGGCCTTGTATCAGAGCCCATGGTCCACCAGTTGCTGCTCTGGCTTCAGCAAAATGTCGACAACGTGATCAGCCTGGAGCCGACCCCCAGGCTAGTGAGCACCCCTGGGAACGGTGAGCAGTGTTCAGAAGATGGAACTTGGATGGCGCTGCTCTTGATTGATCACATGAGATCCAAAGCTAAATATATTAAAGCAATTGAAAAATGGACATCAGAATTGGAACTTACTGGTAGACTTTTCCTGGGAAGGCTGATATTGATTTTGCTGCAAGGAACAAGGAGACACATAAAGGTACTGTTATTTTTTAACTCCCCCCTAGTAGTGTTTGTTGAAATGTTAGATTCCAAGGATTCTTGGCTTTTTAAAGTCTGTGTCTGTTAAATTGCCCTGAAGATTTCTCCCAGGTATAATCTGTGTTCGCCTTACTCCCCCTGTCGTCCATTTGTGGTACTGCAGAAGCATAAAACTGAAGCCTTATTATGAATATCAACAATGAATTCCCGTGCATGTTGAACCATTATATTTGCTACAAATGGATGTTTTGGAATGCCTAATGTAGTATCCACACAAAGGTAACTATATTCTTTCTATTTAAGGCATGAAGTTCTGCAATATGACCTATTTGGTGGCCTCTATATTTAACATTGTGTACTAAACGCGTTGTGAAAGAGTAAAATGGTTGTTTAAAGTAAAAACAAAAGAAAACCTCAGAGAAGACTTTAAGTATTAACATTCTTTTTTCTCCTTTTGCTCAGATTATATAATCCAAATGGTTCTGTTTGACTGTGCAGTTTTACCGAATGGCACAATCAAAAACCAGTAATGTCACTATGGTTAAGGGATTCTGTAAAGCGACCAAATAATGTGCTTATTGTTCCTAAAACAGGGGGAGGTGCAGGCTGGGGGGAGAGGAAACAAGCTTCTGTATGAACTGCTCTCCCGTGATCCCCCAGAATGCATTGTTCCATCTCGAAGGCTTAAGTGTGGCTGGGAAAAAAGTAATTTATCGACCAGGGACGCTAATCTCCCAGCATCCTGGAGCATAAGCCGTGTTTTGGGTGTGTTAATTTGGGAAGCTTTGACGGTGTCTGACAGTGGCTTGTTACCCCCAGTGCACAGGGACTCGCTAGACACACTGAACCTTGTCTTAGTTCGGTGGGGGAGAGCGGGGGAGTTTCTTGTCTCAGGATAAAATGCCTTTGTTTCTGTGATTAATTAAGCAAAGGTTTAGCAGATATTGGGCCCTGAGCTGGTGACGCGTATCTGGGGGGTGGCGGTAGGAGATCTTGAACAAATACTCGAGTGCGGCAAGGATTTCCGACGCGTCGATGATCTGCTTCCATTTGTTCTGTTTTATGTTTGTTATGTTTTGTTATGTTTGTTTTGTTCAGCAGATGAGGCAGAACATGAGTACCATTCTGATATGTTATAGAGCTGACACGGTGAAATCATGAACTAAAATTAACTAAATTGTATTTTCCCGCTTCTTTTAGACTTTTGGTAAAAGTACAGACAGTCCCAGGTTATGAAGGAGCTTTGGTCCCTAAGTCTGTCTAAGTTGAATTTGTAGGCTGGTCGAAATATACATTACATAAATATAATGATAATATTACAGCGAAAACTAGGATTGCAAGCAATTTTACAGGGGTCTAAGCTACCCCACACGGTCGAGAACCTATGCAATTGGGAGCCAATGCGGTCAGAAACCCATGCGGTCGGGAACCGAAGTGATCAAGAACCCATGCAGATGGGAACCCACGTGGTCAACACTAAAGTAGGAAACCAAGAATAATTTGGAAAAGTATTCATAAGGAGGATCTAACGAATCAAGTAAAATAAATGCTCTTTCCCTCATTCAAAGCACCAATGAACAGGCCACAAAGCAAGTTTACCGAATTTTAAAACAAGTGCATATGGACATATTACATACTATTATATGCATTTCAGTTCACAAAAGAGGTTGAATATCTGACTTACACCTTGTGATTTATTAACTACAATGTATTTTGCTTTGTTATAGCGCCCACTTTTGGTTGAGACATGCCAGTCTCCAGCTTTACTCCACCCCTCAAATCGAACGTGTGTTTAGTGCTGAACGGTGTAGGCCTCACAGCCACAAGTTTTCAAAAGGACATGTTTACTCTCACCCTTATGGTGGACTTGGATGAGTTTTTGTGTGTGTGACCCCAGTCTAATTTCTGGTACCTACCCTGCAAATTTGATGTTTCAATAACTCACTGCAGAACCAGTTTTTTTGTGATAGCGCCCCCTGTTGGTTAATCTGCACCAAACTTGTTACATGTCCCAGGAGTGAAGGGCTGAATTCACCTCTGAAGCTTCGTGCCATTTCGACAATCTGTCAGTGATTTGTAGCATTTAATGTGAATTGACACGGAAAAACAAAAATTGTAACTGTTTAGTTTCCTTCCTTCTTGCGCATCCACGTCCCGGCTGTTAATTTCACCCATTAAAATCTCACGGTCATTCTGATCCCTGTTTGTGTGCGTCTGCTTTTAAGGAATACCTTCATCTTCTGAAGACGACGAAGGTCGATGTCGATTCATCGGGGAGACGATGTAAGGAGAAGATGATGAGCGTCCTCTGCGAAAAGCCATTACTGGAGGAACACAAAGAGTTAAGTGTTAAATTTTTTTCTCAAACGCAGTGAAAAGTCCCTGTATGGTGACCTCTTTATGTTAGTCAATCAGCCACTGGCTATTGTGGGTAAGAAGCTGAGCTACTATTATTGACTCTGTTGTCTAAATAACTGACCTTTTCAACTAAGACCCTCAGCTGATGAATAATCAGATAAATTTGTTTCTTCTGCAATTGGGTGTGTGAAACACCCAGTCAAATGGAAATGAATGGTACTGTTGTTACCTATCGCACTGAAGAAAACCGTCTTTTGACTAAAGAGAATGAATAAATAAAAAATATAATCAGAAGATATTCACACAGTCACAATGAAGCTCGCATAACAGCATAAAATCTGTCACTTTCATTAATTATCAAATGATTTTAAACACAAAAGACTTTGCCACTTCCAGTAATTTCAAATTCTCACTCTCGCTCTCTCTCCCCCAGGCTTACAGCTTTCAAAGTTAAGGAGTTCTCCTCTTTAGAGGAGTTGAGAAAGGAGTTTGACTCCCTGGGACTGTTGAAGTTGTACCAAGAGTTTGTGAACACGTCGCTCTAATTGTGCTTTTTTACGATCTCGCTGACCCCGATCAAGTGGAACGCTTTCGCCGCAGACGAGAAGCCTCTTATCACCCGTGTTAATGATGCTCATTATCTCAGCCTCAATATGAAATAAATGTAGCCATAGAAATAAATCCATTTGAGTTTTTTTTATGGTTATTGGGGGGAAAAAAAAACCCTCAGAGTAGAGTAATCAGAGTTTGAACACTATGCATAGGTCTTGGATTTAAATGATCTGTTTCAGTAATGTAGTCTGAAAGCTTGCTTTCTCTTTCTTTAGTTGTCTGTAGTTATTTAAAAATAAGTCACGATTAAACTTCTTTCTGGTCCCTTTGTCCTGCTTGTATTGCTTTTTTTCCGCATCACAGAATAATAAAGCACGATATTTCCCAAATTTATTGGCAGTATTATGAATGCTATATGAGGATGATTGCCTGAATATCCATAACCATTATAGTTTTTTTCTTGCTGAATAATAATAAAAAAAAAGATTTGTAATAATAATAATACTCAGTACAGTGTTAAATTTATCGCCTGATGGTTTATAGCTACTTTAGTGACCCTGATTTAGCTATTTATCTTTTGAATATTTTAGGAGAATTTCAACAAGCGTTGCCCCAGTTCTGTTTTATTTACAAAAATTACATTGCAGATAATGAACCCTAGGAAATGCTTCCTTGGTGAGGATATTGCCTGTGTCATGAACTAATGGGTACAGATCAGACATTTATTATATTTATTTATTTAATTTAGAAGATGTTTTTGTCCAAAGCAGCGTATATGTGAATCAAATACCACATTATGAACATCGAGTAGGACCACAAAGAGCTAGGCTGAGGTTCCAATGACTGTTAAGTTTAGATAAGCTACCCATTATTGTCTAAAGTCCAAACACTTGAAGCTAAATAGCCCACAATATGGGGCATTTATGATTTTTTAAAGGTGGGGATCATAAGATGGGCCAAAATTCGAAAACAGGGACCAGCCTTATAATTAGCCAATGATATATTTCAAATCTGTGAGTGACAGGGGATGGGGAACTCCGGGGACCAATCACCTTTCAGCTGAGGCCAGTGCCCTTGTGGCTCTGCCCCTGTCTACTCTTGGGTGCCCAGTATGACATGGTTTCATGGGGTCCAAAACCTCTAATGACACCCCTGATCTCAGTAATACATGGTCCCAAAAATGAATATATAATCAACTTAACATATACTACATCAGAATGAAATGATATGGAAATCTTATAAGCCCATATTTTATTCATGACAAAACATAGAAAACATATCAAATGTTTAAACTGAGAAAATGTATCATTTTAAGGAAAAAATAATGTAATTTTGAATGTCATGGCAGCAACACGTCTCAAAATAAGTAGGGACAAGGCCATGTTTACCACTGGGTGGCATCACATCTTCTTTTAACAACAGTCTGTAAACGTCTGGGGACTGAGGAGATCAGTTGCTTGAGTTTTGGGAGAGGAATGTTGTCCCATCGTTGTCTGATAAAGGATTCTAGTTGCTCAACTGTCCTAGGTCTTCTGTGTTGTATTTTTAATTTTATGATGCGCCAAATTTTCTCAATGGGTGAAAGATCTGGACTGCTAGCAGGCCAGTTCAGTACCCGGACCCTTCTTCTACGAATCCATTATGTTGTAATTGATGCAGTGTGTGGTTTGGCATTGTCATGTTGGAAAATGGAAGGTCTTCCCTGAAAGAGATGTCGTCTGGATGGCAGCATATGTTTCTCTACAACCTGGATATACCTTTCAGTGTTGATGGTGCCTTTCCAGATATGCAAGCTGCCCCTGCCATATGTACTAATGCACCCCCATACATCAGAGATGCTGGCTTTTGAACTGAGCGCGATAACACGCTGGGTGGTCCTTCTCCTCTATTAGTTCGGATGACATGGCGTCCCTGGTTTCCAAAAAGAATTTCAAATTTAGATTTGTCTGATCATATAACAGTTTTCCATTTAGCCACAGCTTCTGGATCATGTTCAAATACGGTTTCTTCTTTGAATGGCATCTGCGGATGGCACGACAAATTCACTGACAAGGTTTTCTGGAAATAATTCCTGAGCCCATTTAGTGATTTCCTTTACAGGATTGTGCCTGTTCGTGATGCACCACTGCCTCACGGCCCAAAGATCACAGGCATCCGGTTTTTGGGCCTAGCCCTTTATGCACAGAGATTTTCCAGGTTCTCAGAATTTGTTTGATTATAATATGTACTGTAGATGATGACAAATTCAACCTCTTTGCAATTGTTCACTGAGGAACTTTTTTCTGAAATTGCTCCACTATTTCTCGACACAGTATTATGGGGATTGGTGATCCTCTGTCCATCTTTAATTGTGAGAGACACTGCAACTCTAAAATGCTCTTTTTATACCCAATCATGTTACTGACCTGTTGCCAATTGACCTAATTAGTTGCAAATTTGTCCTCCAGCTGTTGCACTTTTTGTACCACTAACTTTTCCAGCCTCTTATTGCCTCCATCCCAACTTTCTTAAGACGTGTTGCTGTCATTAAATTCAAAATGACCCAATATTTTTTATGAAATAGCAAAATGTCTCACTTTCAACATTTGATATGTTTTCTATGTTCTGTTGTGAATAAAATATGGGTTCATGAGATTTCCAAATCATTCCATGCTATCTTTATCTACAATTTGCACAGCTTTTTTGGGATTGGGGTTGCAGATAACACTCAGTACAAGGTAGGAGCCATTTTTGTCTCTAGAAATGATTCAAAGCTCAAAGAGTGCAAACAGAAGCCACCCTGAGCACCACAGCTGCGCTTAGCTGCTCCTTCTGATCTTGTGGCCTTCCAGTTACCAAGTCTGATACACATTTGACAGGATCTTTTTGTTCCCATGAAGCATCTTTAGGTTTAAAAAAAAATAAATGTAGAATTATGGGTGGGTGGGGGGGGGGGGTTAAAAACAAGCTAAGTTGCCCAGGGCTTTATGCCCCTTGTAGGGTCACCCAAGGCAAACAGGTCCTGGGTGAGGAACCAGACGAAGTGCGGCTCACAAGACCCCTTATGATGAAAAAAATAGTAGAATCACGGTTTCCCTTGCCCGGACGTGGGTCACCGGGGCCCCCCCCCTGGAGCCAGGCCTGGGGGTGGGGCTCGATGGCGAGCGCCTGGTGGCCAGGCCTGTACTCATGGGGCCTGGTCGGGCACAGCCCGAACAAGGCATGTGGGTCCCCCTTCCAATGGGCTCATCACCCATAGGAGGGGCCATAAGGGTCGGGTGCGATGTGAGTTGGGCAGTGGCCGAAGGCGGGGACCTTGGCGGTCCGATCCTCGGCTGCAGAAGCTAGCTCTAGGGACATGGAATGTCACCTCTCTGATGGAGAAGGAACCTGAGCTGGTGCGCGAGGTTGTGAAGTTCCGGCTAGACATAGTCGGGCTCACCTCGACGCACGACTTAGGCTCTGGAACCAGTCTCCTTGAGGGGGGTTGGACCCTCTTACTCTCTGGAGTTGCTCACGGGGAGAGGCGCCGAGCGGGGGTGGGCATACTTATTGCCCCCTGGCTGGGCGCCTGTACATTGGGGTTTACCGTGGTGGACGAGAGGGTAGCCTCCCTTCACCTTCGGGTGGGGGGACAGGTCCTGACTGTTGTTTGTGCTTATGCACCAAGTGGCAGTTCAGATTACCCACCCTTTTTGGAGTCCTTGGAAGGGGTGTTGGAGAGCACTCCTCCTGGAGACTCTCTTGTTCTACTGGGGGACTTCAATGCCCACGTGGGCAATGACAGTGAGACCTGGAGTGGCGTGATTGGGAGGAACACCCCCCCCGCTATCTGAGCCCAAACGGTGTTTTGTTGTTGGACTTCTGTGCTCGTCATGGATTGTCCATAATGAACACTATGTTCAGGCATAAGGGTGTTCATATGTGCACTTGGCACCAGGACACCCTAGGCCGCAGTTCGATGATCGACTTTGTGGTTGTGTCATCGGACTTGCGGCCGCATGTCTTGGACACTCGGGTGAAGAGAGGGGCGGAGCTGTCAACTGATCACTACCTGGTGGTGGGTTGGCTCCGCTGGTGGGGGAGGAAGCCGGCCAGGCCTGGCAGGCCCAAGCGTATAGTGCGGGTCTGCTGGGAACGTCTGGCGGAATCCCCTGTCAGGAGGAGTTTCAACTCCTACCTCCGGCAGAACTTCTCCCATGTCCCGGGGGAGGCGGGGGACATTGGAGAAGTTTGGCGAGGCCATGGAAAACGACTTCCGGGCGGCTTCGAGCCGATTCTGGTCCACCTGGAGGGACTATGTCTCTCGGCTGGCCTGGGAATGCCTCGGGATTCCCCCAGAGGAGCTGGATGACGTGGCCGGGGAGAGGGAAGTCTGGGTTTCCCTGCTGAGACTGCTGCCCCCGCGACCCGACCTCAGATAAGCGGGAGAAGATGGATGGATGAGATGCTGTAGCCTCAATGTATAGCAACAACAGTCGGATCACGCTTGAAATTTTCGATTAGGCGTCATAGCTGTTTTAATGCTTAGTCAAACAGTAAGTGAACCTCCTGACCCTGTCTGAGTGCTGTATGTATTCAGTTACAGACACATGATTTGCTGTTATGAAGGACAACTTGTTTGCATCAGCAAGCAGGCATACCTAATAACCCGACCCTGAGTGTAGATAAGGAGAGCTCATGGGACTGGAAAATATGAGAAAGATAAGAATTAAACTGGGCAGTAGTGGTTATAGTAATTTAAAGAAAACTGCATCTGGAACCAGTAGATCTTTTCAGACGATTTCTTGTGCAGTTTTGGATAGCTGAACCGCCCTCACTGCCCATCAAGTAGGTGTACTGTTGCAGCTACTGGAAGTGTAAAGTGCTATTTCAATCTTAGACTGGTGAGTGAATACCTACCAGTCCAGCAGACCCAAAAAAGCCTATTTTGAAACGGCTGATAATTTTAAAAGGGAGTTTTACCGGAAAATTGCCCTGGAACCTGAGTAGAGTTTTGGGTTCAAACGCTGTCGAGATCTATGGTCGCGGTGCTGGGAGGCATTAAATTGCTCTGCTTAACGCCGGATTCTGTACAGCATATCATTCAAAAAGGTTCATATGACTAAATGGAAAAGAATATCTGCTAAGTAATAAATGACTAATACTCAAGCAAAAAATAGTAGGTCGATTATTAGATAATAAAATATGAGTGGATGCAACAGAATATTTTGTAAATTTGCACAATCTTAGGGGAATATGTTTGATTTATTTAAAAGCACTCTGCAGAACGCTCTGGGATTTTTTTTAACGCCTCGGACGGTTTCCTTTAACGCGGCACCATCGCTTTTAAGCTGGTGTGTTTTTCTGC